GTGAAGGATGATGGTAGAATATGGGCAAGAACACTTTATTTCTGGCTTGTTACCTGCCTAGTCTTGGTGAGTGTACTGCCTTTTATGGGTGAGATGATAGTAGCAAGCTTTTAATTTTGCCTCTGAAGGAAGATAAATTACATATTTGGATTTATCCCATGCCTAAATGGGACTGCAGAATGGTGCAAAGAGCTTAGGGGGTAACTGACAACTGGATTGTAAAGGCTAATTAGGTAGTTGTGGAGTGAATAAAAATTCAGGTCCTTAGGTTATTAGAATTGCTAAGATGGTCTTAGTTGTGGAGCATTACGAGTAGAAGGTGTGGAGTTGTAAAGGTGACTTATGTGATTAGAATGACAGGGTTTTCACGTAGTCTGGAGAGCAAAATTGTGCATTTGAGTTGAGAAAGTTATATTAGACAATAAACGAAGTAGTAAGGGATTGGTTTAGGTCTTGATTTAATTTAGCATGATTTGAAAATGCCTGATGATCTGATGATTTGGAGAGGTGGCTGATTAAAAGATGTTATTTATGCTATGGGCATGACTTGTAATGATTAGGATAGTGGGAGAGAAAGAAGAACAGTGGGGGAAGTAAGTTGTGTAGGGAGAGGCAACAATGTATCTTTTTCCAGGCTATCAGCACGGTTAGAGGATAGCTGCTGAGATATTTTATCGGAGAAGGCTAGCTGGACCGCGCTGTAAGTCAACAGCATGCTTAAGAGTTTACAACATCCTGAATGTTTTGCGACACTTGAAGGATGTTCATAGATGTATTAGGAGAGGACAACTGTGCAGGGCAAAACGAAGAGAATTATGGACAGGTGGTTGCTCCAAAAGCCATTGAGAATACCAAGAAAAACAGTAGTGCGACTCTGAGCTCTAACCAGGAAAAGATTGTGGGGAAAAAATATACTGAAAATAGTCTTACTGGACCATTGGGTATGGATACTAAGTTGGGAAGAATGAAGATAAACATATCACAGCATACGAACTGAGACGGGAATAAAAGCTGATTCAAGAGTGTTTGTGCTAATGTCTATTTAAATGTAATATTTTCCTGCGTTATTTCTCACATCACATTAATCTTAGCTTCTGCATGTTTCTTTGTCTCTTTCATTAACTGTTTCCACTGTGATGCACAGGGCACCAAACCTTCAAATAGACTTGTAGATATTTTATCTAGATAGGTTATTTTTGGATTTATTTTAATAAAATAGATTTTGTTTGATCCTGGCTGAGCAAGGTAGGTTTATGCAGGTGGCCTCCTCATGTTATTTATCTCTCCATTGATCTTTGTCTTATCTGGAGATACTGTTAATAGCTTCACTTTGTGGATGGTTTTCAGATAAAGAAGTAATAATTAACAGTTAGAAGCAGATTTCTGCGAAGCTCTCCCTAGAGCTGTACTTAAAGGAATGCGTCCTCTAAAGAAGAGGAGGCTCCAGGAGAGAGACATATCTTCAAACATAAAACATTACTGCAAAAAGGAAGTAAGCTGTACCTTACAAGCGCCAAAGAACTTAAAACAAGTGAATGGAATGAAAGGAAGTTCAAATTTAATGAAATGAAGGGATTAAGCCTAACAAGAAATTCTTATTATAGCATCAATTTGTTCTGCGTAAGAGTGGCGAATAGCATTAATTAGGGTTTTTTTGTTAACTTTTTTGAGTCTTAGAGCAGATATCCTGGTTTTGTTTAGCTGGTAATCAGATTCATACTAGAAGGTTACCGTGTTTGTTTGTGTATGTTTGTTTGTTTAAATACTGATGCTTACTGGATGTTACAAGAATTACTTGGCATGTTAACTGGACTTACTTTGAAACATTTCAAACTACGTTGATATGAACTAGTTGGAAAATACAAACAGAAATGACAATAAACAGTTTTAAAGTATCTAGTAGAAATGTATGTGGAATGTTCTAGCCTCTTCTTGAGCTGTTGGCAATTTTGTGATCCAGGTTCTGCAGGATAAACGTTTATCTCCTTTACAGTTTTGTGTGTGTGTGTGGTGGTGGTGGTGGTGTGGTGGGTTTTTTTTTTATTTTTTGACCTGTCATCCTCTAGTTTAATTTCATGCCTTCCAGCTCTTGTACGCTGAGAATCACTGCCTTGTTCTCTATGCCACTCAGTGATTTTCTAGATTTGTATTCCCGCTCCCTCCCTGCCTGCCAAATGCTGTTTATCCAGGCTGAGGAATCCTAAGCTGCTTAGTTGTTTTGCATATGGAAACACTTCCGTACCCTCTTCCTGCTTATTACTTGTTTCTTACAGATGCTGGATCTTCCTGCTCATCTTCATCCCCAGTATCTGTCATGTTTGCCCACCCATCCCCTGTTACCTTCCAGAGCCCTAGTGATAGTTAGCTCACCTTGAGATTTGTTCTGGTCATTGGCAAGGACTGTTGCTCCAGCCCCATTTCCTGGTAGTGACTATAGCTTTCAGCATCTTCCCCCTTATCAGTTTTAGGGTTTCCTCTCTCCCCTCTGCCCTGTTTTTCAAGGCCATGTAAGAAACGGAAGGGTTGTCTCCTTTATTAATATGGTGATTGGATGCAGTCTCAGTGATCTGTTGAGTCCTACTGCAGTCATCTATTCAGTAACTTCTTAACTTCTGTTTTGGGAGGTGGAGGAAGTCTTTTAACTTATTCTCCTATGAAGTAAAGCTGAGGTGGTTATTCATCTGCGCTCTTCTGATAAATTCTCCATAATAACTTAAGAAAGCTTGCTAATTTTGGTAACTATAGACAAAAGGGCAGTGTTTTAAATGATACCAAATTTCTGCATGTTTCCTGAAAATCGAAAAATTGACTGGAGCTGGGAGACTCAAATTGCCTCCTTTGTAGAGAGAGAGGCTCAACATGAGGTCAGCTGTTATTTCACATTTTGGCTTGCTATCGCTGGCTAGTGCAGGAGTGACTTAGAAACAGGCAGGAGATGAATTGCCCCATGCTCTGTCAATAGTCAAAAAAGGTTTGATGGGAATGAAGAGGCATGGGAGAGGGTGGTTTGTGTTGTGAGGAATTTGGGGAGGACTTGGAGTAGTGATGTGAGAGGACCAGAGGACCCATGAGATATAAACCATGAGAAAATTGGGTCTTTGGTGTCGCTGCTCACATCGTTGTTTCTGTAGTTAGTGTGATGCAGTTAATTTGTGACTTAATTCTTATTCTCTTTTAATGGCTATTTTACCAAGAAAGAAAAACAACCTGTTTAAAAATTTGACAGTATTCCATACTTCACTTGTAAAGTGAGGCTTAACTTAAGAAGGGGGCTAGGAATAACAGATATAAAATGACAAGCGGAAGGTAGAGGCATCTACCCCGTGTCTCTGTATACAAATAACATATGTCGTGAGTGCTGTGGCCCATTCTAGATAGCTTTTTCATACTCTTGTTCTGAGGCAAAAAGGTAAGAATAGCAAAGTGCTAGAATTTCTGTTCAATTTTGGTACCAGACAAACTGTTTCTTAAACTCTTCTTTCTCATTGTTTGGAGTCTTAAAATTAGTCTTCAGGTTTGTCAGTAACAATTTTTTATATATATAATGCTTTTATATAGATTATGTACATGTATGTGTGTATGTGTATATATATAAAAAATATAAAACTTTTTTGAAAATACGAAAACCCAGCATCTTCAGCTTCACCTGAAAAATAGGTTACTCCCTGTAGAATTAATATTTTGACCATTTTGGTCCTTAATGATAGGAATTTCTAAAATTTAAAAATTTTAACTTGAGTAACCAATACCTGAACTTGTCTGAAATGAAGCCTAGTGTTAAAATTACATGTATTGATGTCCTTTAATAATTACTTCTTAAGGACAGACCAAATCGTAGCTGTTTTAGCGGGTGATATTTGTGGAAAAGCTGTGGGCCCTTTAGGTTTAAAAGCTGCTGTTTAATTTTAAGGTTGTGGTTTGCTCTTTACTGCATGGACCTGGGCTGTGAGCACTCTTCAATCTCTTGTTCTACTGAATGCTATGTGAGCAAGCCAAGGCTGTGTGCTTCTTTAATGACATCATCTAACTGCTTGATTCTCCAGATACTTCACCACAGGTCACCAGGAAGCATGGTCCACAGACAGCAGCTGGGAGAACTTCCCTGGTTCGCAGAAGTCTGTGTTATTCATGGGCTAACGTCCTGTATCACGATATAGTTGTTCAGGCTCAAAGCCTTTAACTTTTTCCTTCTGCAAATGTGTACAGGATATGGTAATGTTTAATTTTTGTTCCACAAAAGTGGGGACCTGAGGCAGTAAATAATCTGAGGAAAAGTAAAGTCTGTAGCAGAAGTGGGAATTTCAAGCAAACATTGAATCCCACTCTTATGCACTAGCTTCATCTGGCCCTCCCCTTTGAAAAGGGTATGCAGACCTCTAATTTACAAAAGAAATCATTGGTTTTGCCTTTCCGAGAATTCACTGTCACATGAATTTAAAGGGTTATTGACTTGTGTGAATGTTATTACAGTGAATTTGTGTGGAGCTTTTTTTATAATCAAACCCAGCTCCCCCAAACTCAGCCTGCAGGACCAGCAAAGAAGGACAACTATTTCCAGTAACTGTCTGTTTAATTCTTATGCCTAAATCTGAGGAAGCTGTTTGTTAGGCCTTGAGTGGAGGAGGAATTAAACCCCAGCAATCCTGTGGCCACTTATGGCTGACAGAAATGCCCTTTTGAGAGGGGCACTGACACTTTTAGCTAACACTTGAAAAAGTGAATTTACTCCAATTGATGTCTTTCATGGGGAGGGGAAGCTAATTCAGTGTGCAGGTTCTCTTATTTGTTTTAAGCATATTTTAATTGGTATCTCAGCAGTGAGCAATTCCTTCTGCCATACTGTGAAAATAGAGAAAGGTAAGAAGGGATTAGCAGATCCTCTCACTAGGACAACTGCTCTATCATATTGCAGCCTTGCATTGAAGGGACATTGTCTTTTTTGCTCCCAGTCCCCTGCAGAGCAAAAAGATTTGTCGGATTCAGGCGAGGACCGACAGGGAGAGGTTGAGCCCCCTCACCATGGTCTGGGTCACACAGAATCAGCTGGTGAGCGCGACTTTGAGCTTCCTGCTCCCGCTGTTGCCTCAGTCAGTGCTACTGTGAGTCCCGCTTCTGAAGCCCAGCTTGCTCCTATTCAACAAGAACTGGCAGGGGTAAGTGTGAACCTACCAAGTACTTCTGCTGAGGGGATTTAAGGAAAAATCCCTTCGACTAAAAGAAGTTGGTTACTGTTAACTTTAGGTAGTATACCTCATTATGTGTCTAGTTTTTGATCTCGAGTGTTAGTTCCCTCTAAGCCATTGTTTCAATTAGTAGAAATGAAATTTGTTTGGGACTTTCTAGTGGGAGTAATTGTAGAAGGCATAACCAGTGTTAATTTCTAAAGCTTAGTGTGTAAACTGAGCATTTGCTAGGGGTAAGAACTCCTCTAAATGAGTGACAAAGTTGGTGTGTATGAGAGAGTTGCATAAAACTGTTAGCATTTTTTCTCCTTTCTGCCTCTAAACCATAATCCTGCAGTGCAACAAAGTGAGCAGCTAATGCTGTATTCTCACTAGATAAATGCAGTAGTTTATGCCAATCTGTAATGTACTTAACAGATTAAAAGCAGTAGGAAAGATGTTAAAGCAAAATTTTGAAGTTAGGTATTTGAAAATTTTCTACTTGAAAAAATTTAAGTACCTCGAGGTAAAGAAGGCTATCACTGCTGTTAACTAAAGATCTTTTTCTACTGATGGTGCAGGAAAATACTTTTGGAAATGACTGATATCACGTAGTTTTCCAAAGCAATTTTAGGAGCGATCTTAATCTTTCTATCTTGATGGACCATATTTTCTTGCTGCAGGTGAGTGTTGCTCATTGTGACCACACATACTAGGCGTGTACACTTTGATAGAGGCTTGCTTGTTAAGGCCACTCCATGCAATACGTGAATTCTTTTCTTACGCTAGCTTTTTCAAGAAAGGGTCTTTTGAAGCAATCCCAGTGCCAAATGGGTTGTCCTGGCAAGGTACAAATGACTACAGGTTAAGCAACTTTAGGCATTCAGACTGTCAGATTTTGCCTGATGACCTGCTGCAGAAGTTTTCTTATTTCAAAATTGTTTTGAAAGTTAAGTTTTTCAGGGGTTAATACTTTAAAATGTAGCTGTTAAATGTAACCACTGGCTTTTATGTCAGTTTTCTATCACTTAAAATTGCTTGTATTGCTGCAGCTGGCCAAGAAAACCATATTCGGCAGACCTGCGAGAAAACCACAGCAAGTGATCAGTCTGTCGTACTCATTATTTAAGAGATGAAATTGCAACACCTGTTAACCCAGGTCTGAAAGAAATTTAAGTATTGTATGCTTACAAGAACAAAAAATGCCTGGGGAGTGCATGTGGGAATTCTTCTCTGTAAGCACAGATATCCACACAGATATCCACACATCCTTGAACTGTACTGCATTTGCTGAAATTTATGGGGTAGTGCAGTAGTCAGTAGAGGTGTGTAGTAGGCCTTCATTAATATGTGCTGTTAGGCATTCTAAGAATTATCCTACTTTCTTACAAGAGTAAAATTGTCTCTTGCCTTGAAATATACAGAAGGTTAATGAATCTTTAGCAGGCCCATACTGGTTTGTTGGATCAGGACACTTCATGACCTCTTCCCTGGCTCTTGGAAGACAGAATTTAAGACCAAGCTCTGAAAAAGAGACTTTGCAAAACTGTCAGTACTCCTTGTTTACTCAGTAATGTTTGTAATGTGCGCAACCAAGTATGACCAGGGATATAGCCTGTTAGAGAGCTGGTTATAATGCCTTGACTTTTAGTTACCTAACCCAAGTCAGCATATATAAGCTATAGCTTTGCCAGCAGGATTCTGTTGATTAAGAAGTGAGATTCTGGAGCAGCTTTTCAGTAACAGCCATGGCAGTTCAATTATAATTGTCTGTGGGCAGAGTATGCAGATTGCAAACTTACTGTACCATGCTCAGAGATCCTTGATCCTTGTTACTTTACTGCGTTTTAGTTCTGTTTTTCAAAGGTGAACTCTATTTAGAGTATACTGCTGTAGCTTTCACCTATTTCTGTTGTCCATACTTGTTTTTACCTGGATTCTCCCTTTCCTTTCCTATGCCTTCTTATTGTGAATAATTGAAAACTGGCTGCAATTTGTTGAAGTTTGGATAAGTTTTTCTGTACTAGTTTCTTGTAACAACTGCAGAATGTATTTAATAACCCAGGGCATCACTTACAATTCTTCTGAAATAGTGTAAGGAACTAAGGGGTAAAGAAGCAGTGATTGTATGTGGGTGGTTAATACGTTTTCATTTTCTCTTTTAAAAAGCAGTTGGTCACCTTTAAAAAGGTGATTTAGTTAATTTGAAATGTATGTCAAAACTGTAGGAGCCTCTCTATAGAAAAAAACGTAATTTTTCCTGTAGCTGGGTCCCTAAAAGTAGGGGGAGAAAGGAATAGGGGAGAAGTGGCTTCCATTCTCATATGAAGAGTAAATTGTAGATCCTATTTTGATATTTACTGGTTTAAGTGTCTCTTCTTTGGTTTCAAAGAACAAAATGCAGAGAAATTGAGTCACCTTAATAGTTTCTCATAGGGTGAAATAGTCTCAGCTTTCAGTTCTCCTGTGGAAAACACACTTTTTTTCCTACTTTTTTCTACACACTTGTTTCTACTTCCAAAATACATATCTTGCTGTAAAGTGCAGGTTAATGAGTAGCCTGCAAAGGTGGGCCTATAACTGAAAGGTTATACTGCTGTTTGTTATCAGTAATTGTAAATTCTGATATTTCTTTCAGCTCAGTCAAGTAATGCAGTCCTAAACTGCTTGTCATGCATACATTCCCCTGATTTATTTGTCCAGTCTCCAGATCCTCCACAGTAAGCCACACTGCTAAGCAACTTCAGGCTGCACTAGTGTCTTACTACTTAGTATGGCTTTGTACAGGAATGAAACTTTGGCTTGCCCTGATCTGCCTTGAACTGTTTCAGGTTTGACCAAAGATGATAGAGGTTTGGAGGTCTTGGAGTTGGATTCCTATGCAGTTTGTGGAAAGAGGCAGTCTACTAGAGAAGCGGAATACTCCCACTGTCTCAAGCATTTGACCTCTCGCTGCAGGTTACTCCACTTTGTAGGCCATCAGTGTAGGATTCGTGGGAAATCAAGCTTCATTAGCTCATATGCTTAAAGCTTTATTTAAAATCTGTCTTCTCAAAATAAAAGTGACAGTTTAGAGTATTACAGAATGGAGTTTAACTTTGCATGGAGTTCGAGTGGCATATATTTGACTATTAACTACTTCAGGAACCTCAGTTTAAGATATAATTGTCACTTTGTACTCAACAAAAATACAGGGCTGTCTTCTAGATTATATATATGTGTTGGATTTTCAAGTGCTGGTTTGCAATAGATGATCGAGCTTTGGGAATATTTTTTTTCAGGATCTTTAAGTGAATTGGTTATTAATGAGAGGATTATTTATTACAGTCTTTTCTAAGGTTGAGAACGCTTGACTGGTGTGTGCCCAAGCACAGCAAGAAAGGGAGTGAATATTGACAGCGAGTTTCCTAATAAAAGCAGGGAAAAAGAGTGATATTTTACTGGAAGTTAAAAGAAGTTCTCAACTTTATGTTTAACAGTGTTGGTGAGTCTGCACTTGTGTAACTCATGCATATCTTCAATCATTTGAAAATAAAAAATCAAACCTGGATGTCTTAGATGCTCACACAGAAGTTTCGGTACTGAGGTAGACAGAGGAGAGGTTATTTGGCCTGTCTGTGCAGGAGGTAATCCTAAAACGTTAAGATGTTTTTTCTTCCTTGGCTTCTAAATTCCTGAGTCTATGAAAGACTTAAATCTCTTGCTGGATTTTTCTGGTTGGAGTTACCGATTGCTAACTCTACCCCAAGCAATAATTGACAGTGTGAGTACTCTGAATGGATAAGGATAGGAGGTAGCATTCTAAATGATCTAGCTATTTAGATGCCCATGTAGGAAAAAAACACATTTGAAAGAAATTATTCTACCTTTGAATAAGGTTGACAACGTCATTAACGACTGTAACGCTTGCCATGTATACTTCTGCATGGCTTTAGTCTCCAAAAGCTTTTGGACTAGGAAGCATGGAAATAATTCTGAGTAGATACTTAGCTTTGTTTTGTCCTCAGTAGGATATAGACTTGGATTTGGATATTGATGCTCAATGCCCACTAAACGTAGTGACAGAATACTTATTTGTCCTTTCATCAGTAATAGATGACAAAGATGTGATAATCTTAAGCTTATATCATACAGATTTGACTCTGTTTTGTATCTGTATGTTACTTGATCAGTGAAAATATATTATGCAACATTTCTGGAAGTTGTTGACGTTTAGGGGGAATATCTTGTTGATTTTTAAGGAATGCTGCCAAATTCGCACCTATGGATCTGTAAATTTCTTTCGTGCAAATTTCTGTTATTAAATGATTTTCTTTTGCTTTTACGGATTTTGCTAACAGTTGAAACAAATCGGGGGTATGTGTTGCTTTCTATACTTTCAATACAAAATAGAGTTTTTTTTGTTTTTTTTTTTATCTCGCTTTGGGTATTGATGACTGAAATTGCTAGTTGGCTTCGTGTGCACTGAAAATGGAGATGCCTAAAAATATCATTTGTAAATAATGTAGGTTACTTGGCCAATTATGTAGGGACAGTATAAGTCATAAAGCAGTGTGATAGTGGTTAGGCAGGTAAATATATATATAGTGTGTGGGGGGGAAGGGTATTCTAAAACAAAAAATACTTTATTCCCTGTGTCAGAGGTTTCAAAGGTACCTAACTAGGATGCCAGTGAAGTAGCTATACTGACTTTAAAAAACAAACAAGCAAGCAAAACCTTATTGCATAGGTAAAATTGCTTACCCTTGCAAGTAGGTATATTTTTATTTGCATTGGGTGAAATACTGATAGCACAGTAGTATCTAGATTCAAAGTATAAGTAGCACTAAATACTGTTTTTTTCCCTTTCCATTATTGCTGTATTCACTGTATGTCTTTTCAATGATAGTCCTGTGCAGCCTTAGCCAGTCTTTTGTATTGCCCAATCTTTGTGTGTCTACCCATCCTCCAAACCAAAGTACTAGCAGCAGTGGGGTCATAATCAGGCGCTGCTGTTGCAATGCTGGAGCTGCAGAGTCTGGGGTTAGCCAAGCATGGCTCCAACCCCCCCCCCCCCCCCCCTCCCCCAAACTGTGTGTGAGAGGTATCAGTAGGGGGGTGTGTGTCCTGAGTCAATGGATGAAAGGGTAACGTTCGGCTAGGAAAAACGTCCGTGGTATTGGGAGGTTTTGGAATGACAAGAGGGTGCTAATGCTGTTCCTGTAATCTTCCATATCAGAGGGAATCCATCAGGAGATTGTTTTGCGGGAACAAGAGAAATTAGATCAGCTAAAGTATTGACAGCAAGTAAGAGGGGAGAGACCTCAGCCTTCAGAAAACATGTGGAAACTTGTTTAAGACTTGTTAACATTGTGACGGTTGGTAGTGTGTGATACTTTGTTGTTTTTTTTTTTTTTTTTTTTTTTTTTTTTTTTTTTTTGCTATGTACTATGGAAGATGCTAAGGAAACTACCCATTACTAGTTCCTATAAGAGCATTGTAGTTTAGCTTTGTAGAGAGTGCTTTGAAAGACATCCCTCCAACACTATGTTGAATGAACCAATGTTAGTTATGTTTATTAGCAAAACTGCTTTGGAATAAAATTCCAAATAATTCATAGGTTCGCGGTGAAACTAAAAACTTCTGTGTGTGTGTTTTGGTTTTTGTTGTTGGTGGTTTTTTTTAATTGAAACCAAATTTGAAAATGTCATTTTCAGGTTTTCAAATGCAGGAAACTGGCTGTAATTGCTGAATAGTGTGTAATAAGGATGTTAGTGCTTGGATATGAATTTTTAGATACTCTTAGGTATCTTATTTGTAACTGAAATGGTTTGAATTCACGTGACTTTTAAGAGTCTCTAGGTAAAATTCAGTATGGCTATATGTGGTTCATAAGAATAATGCTTTGCCTTGAATATATATCACTGACACTAAAGAAAGTCTCTGAACTGATTAGAGCATTCAGATGTATCCAAACAGACTGAAATATTGTTCAGTATGTGATTATCACTTCATCACTGTCATCTGATTTCAGAGATCAGCAGATGGATCAAGTCCAGAAGATGGAGATGGTAAGAGATTTGATCATAAAACTAAAAAACCTTAGTACATGTCTCTCCAGAATTTTGTGCATTTTCTCTAACTGCCTTTTTGTCTGCAGAATCTGATCGAGAGGATGGAAGCTACTGTCCACCTGTAAAGCGTGAGAGAACTTCATCTTTAACTCAGTTCCCTCCTTCCCAGTCAGGTAAATGTGAATTATTACAATATTGGTATATGGGAGATGTGGGTTTCCTTTTTCTACTTTTTTTTTTTTTTCTTATTACTATCTCCTGTGTCTTGCCTTAAAAGACCATGTAATCTAACTTTTTCTATGGTCTGTATTAGCAAATTCAGTTAACCCCGAAAGAGCTAATGTATTTTTTAATATTTTAAATTATAAATAAGTTGATATATCAACTTTGCAGTTTCTGCTTTTAATCTTATGCTGTTAAACTGAAGAATTTAGAACTCTTCTTTCCCTGCTGTGATCAGGTCACTTAAGTAATTACATAAATGCTTGCTTTTCTAGTTTCTGCTACCAAGCAGCTCTTCCAGGAGTTATGCTTTAGGTCATGCTTACTGGTTCTTCTCCTCCTCCCCCCCCCCTTTTTTTTCCCCAGTCCTCTCAAAGGAGAGAGAATCCAATGCATTTCAGTAATGTTCTTGCCTGGTGTGTGGCAGAGACGATGAAACCTCCACAGTCAGTCTAGTTGAAGGCACGTAGGGTCAAGACAACAGCAAAATCACTGGGAAGTGCATGGATAAATTGTTGCAATTCATATACCCTGTAATGGTGATGTCATCTGTATTGCCCACAGGAACCACCTCTAAAAAATTATGCCTTCTCTCTTCATACATAATATAATGTCTTTAGCTGAGGATTATTTTAGTTAAGATATTTCAGTGTTTGGGGGTGGATTTGAAGACTTTGGTCCTTCATTTCTGCCATCTCAGTTGGGAAAGGAGACTAGAAGCAACAGCAGAAGAGAGAACAGTACAAAATATTCCTCTAAACAAGCAGCACATTCAGGAAGCAGTGGCCAAAAAGGTATTTTGCTAGGTGTTTTGTTCTCTTGTAATTTTAAATAAGTCAATACGGAATTAAGAATGGAGTTGCTGATTGCTTATAGGCACAGTATTCTCATTTCATATTTCTAGTGCTAGTGAGGGGTGAATTCCCTCCCTCAAGATCTAGATTTTTTTTGACCTGCAGTTTAGCTGGCTTTAAGGTGCAGTCCTGTTAAGTGAAAACCAGTTTCAATGCCTCAGTGTTACTGCTCCTGTTTCCTGGTCATTCTTAGTAAAAGAACACTCTCCTGACAAAAATAATAAAATAGGTTTTTTTAATATATATAAATCTACTTACTTTCTACTTTTCTACTATAGTCTTTAACTTCTTACTTTTGTAACTTCTATTCATAGTTTCCACATAATTACTACCGACTCTTTCAGTTTGTAATATGTTTTTCTTTCTCCTGTGAGGGTGCACTCTCTAAAGTATTTTAGATTTTGCTCAGTGCCAGCATTTGTTAAGAAGTGGAGGTAAACAATTTAGCTCTTTTGTGGTTAAACACACAATGTTTCAAGGGTTCATCATTGATTCTCAGCCTCTGCTTGACTAATGTACTTTGAGTATGGTCATTTCTTCTCTGTTTGACTCTCCCCGTTCTCTTCTGATGTGCATTGTTCTCATGTAGTGACAAACTTTATTGGAATGGCAACTTTTATAAAGCTTTTTTGAATATTGCTGATAAATAGGTGTGGTTTCCAGAAAATCTTTCCCCTTCCAGACCTCTTTACATTTTCCTTGTGGGGTTATGTTTTTCTTAAGGGTAGGGTAATTATGTTTATATGAAATAATCTGCATTGTTTTTAATCTTAAGGCAGAGAAGATGCAATTAAAGAGATTAAAGCAATTAAAGCTTAAAGATAAAAGGCAAGTGCTGCATCTTTTAGTATAACAGTATTCAGAGATCAGTTTCCTTTCTCTATTCAGCATGCGTAGCTTTTCTGAGACTGTGCAAGAAGCTTAAAAGAGCTGATAAATATTGTCAAACTTTACCTCAAGCAAGATGGTCTGTTGAGGACAAGAAAACCTCTATTATTGACTAGAGACTCTTGATGCTTTTAATCGCTGGCTCTGTTTATCATCTTTCATTACCTACAATGTCTGACTGCAACCTTTTTTTTTTTTTTTTTTTAATATCAGAAGTACTTTTCTCCCTCAAAGTTGAATTACTGAAAGGGGCCTAGGCCTCTATCCCTCACTTGTCTAGGTGCCCTGCAAAGGGTGGAAAAAGAATGCTGTCCTTTGCCTGCTTCTTTCAAATATTTTTTTTGCCCTTTTGTTGACTGTTATGCTTAAGTGTGATGTCTATAAATACCTTGGAGCGCTCTCCTATGTGTGTGCAGTGTGTTTATCCTTTTAAGTCTGTTCAAACAGTTCCCATAGCATTAAGGCAATAATCTCTCTGAGCAGATCCAACCTTACTCTCTTTGATTTTTGTATTGATGTTTGACCCTCTCTACTGTTCCTTTATGAGCGTTGTGTTCTACACGGGCTTTAAAAGCTGAACTCTTACTGTTTTGTCTTCGTTATCAGAACACTGTTCGTTATCCCATCTAGGCGGAACTTTTCTTTTCTCCCATTTCCAAGGGCTATTTCCCAGATCTCCAAGTCTCTTCATTCTCTCTTTTCTACTCCTATGTGGCTTACTTTTTATTGTACAGCTTAGGTAGTGTTAGCTTGTATTTCTATTCTAACCATACAAAGCTTTAAAGGCTTATTTTCTTCTGTATGGCATTCAGGGTCTACTGTGTATGTTTTCTATCACAGCGTCTTTCCTAGCTGTGAAAACAACCTCATTATTTCCTTAGGTCTACTCAGAATGCTGCTCATAAGCTTATCTCCCTAGTTCGTTGCTTGAAATTTGTCTACCCTGCTATCCCCCTCCAGCTTCCAGTGATTTGGTTGTTTCTACCACATCAAACAGAAGCTCTTTGCCTTCTGTTTTAGGGCTTCTTTCTGTTTAGTTCTATCTGATAGATTAGATTCAAATTGATTCGCAGGTTCTCTAAAGCAGTGATAATATGAATCTTTTGCAAGTATGCTGCCCCCCTCAACAGTGGCATCCTTTCCCCTACCTTGATGAGGAAACTACCTCAACATCATTTATAAACATACTGTGTTTCATCAGCTTCTAAGATCACTGCATAAAATAGCTACTGGTGCCACTTGCTGTTGATATTAAACAAGAGATGTGTTAAGACTTTTTCTTTTTTTGCCAGTTTTATCACATTACCCTGATGCCCTGACCTTTATTGTGTCAGGCTTAGGTTTTTATGTCTGACCATTGTGCAGGAGTTAATTGTGTTGTAGGTTCTCTCACAGTGTTTAAATTCCTAATCATGTTTTGTTTACTCAGTTTGATGCAGCTTTGGAGGTAGGGCTTGATTTTTCACTTTGACCTTAGTAGCCATCTGTTGATGATCTTCTGCTTGCTGTCCTTTAGATGGAAGTGTGTGTGAGGATGGATCTTTGGCATCTTGCTGCCAAAGCACTTGGAGCTTTAAAGGTGACTTAAGCTAACCTTTAACTTTTAATTGAATTGTCTGGTTCTTAGTTCCAGCCCATCAGTTAGAGTCTGATTCTCAGCTGGACTTCAGTCTGAGTCACAGAAGCACGCTAATTTACTCTGTGGTGGTTATTTTGCAGGTTGCAGACATAGGAATGCAGCATTTTACCTCTGCACTCAATTTAAGAACGCTCCCATTACCTGAGAACAGATATTTTCTGTTTAACCAAAGTAGAATACCTGATGGGATTTACTGTTCAGATGGCAGTAATTCTGTGCTGGTGTTTGGTTAGTTGACCAGCTCCAGAAGTCTGAGTGCATTTTAGAATAATCATTTCTGTCAGCTTTTTAAAATCTTTGGCATTCAACTAACATTTGTTTCTCATGTTATTAATGAAGACTCATCAACTGACAAGTTGTGTTGACTTACCAGTTCATCATTGACCTCTTGGATCACTCTTTTTTTAAAAGACAGCGCTCTATCACAAATTCAACAGAGTTTTGATCTTGAATTAAATTACATAGGAGCACTAATGGACTTGCAAATGCTCACCTTCTCTTTGAAAAGATTCTAACGCTGAAGATCTATTAAAGAATAAGTGTCTGGAAGTCATTAAAGGATGTGCTTTGGTAGCCCTAATTGAACACGTCTAGATATCTCCAAAGTGACTTATTTGTATGCAAGACAGTGTTTTGGTGTATGCTTTTTCAAAACTGACTTTTAAAATTCTGTTTAGCAATAAGAAATAGCAGAAATATGTAGGTGAGCAGATTGGGCATAGGACTCAACGTACTTGTTTGCTTCAGCAGCAACAACAGGTACTTCAGAATTGGTTTGAATGCCCTACATACATTGAAGAACCACTCTAAGGGCCAGATCCATAAACTGATTTATTTGGAGTGAACCATGATGCTAAAAGCTGTTCTGCCTCACATGCTGAAAGAGTGGACTTTTCCAGCTAAAGGGAAGGAGCACCATAAATTTGTTTTGTTAAGTGATCTTCACAAGAAAACTCGTAAACAGGTCCAGAGATAGCAAAGTCTCTGAAGACTGGAGGTGATTTGATTTGATAGTGTTTTAGTAATTCTGTGCAGACTTATCATGGATCTGCATTCAATTTGGTTACTCCTGACTGAGGATCTAGTAACGTAGGATCAATTGCAGTTCTCATCCTAATTAGCTGTAGGGTTCTAAACGTAAAACTGTGTGAAACAGAGAATTTAGGGATGTTACATAGTCAAGCTTTGACTCTAATTTGAGCCCCCATTTGGGGTATGTTGCCTGAACATAGATGTTCTTGGGGTTGTATTGATCTGTGACTTTGAGGTTCAGCACAGCACTCATCTCATTGTTGTGTGTAACTCATGGCAGCAGTCCTGTGGGGTTCCTCTCTGGGCATACTGTGTTGGGTTTGAGTCTCTTCACCCCTCCCCCCCCTCCAGTTTGACTAATAACCCTGGAAGCAGTTTAATAAACTGGGGAAAGCAGTCCAAGCTCAAAAATAATGTTCCACTGTAACCATGTGCATGGAAATTTGCAATGAGCTTCCTTTGGAATTATTCTGTTTGATATCACCTCTTAGACTGTGAGAGTTGCCTCTATGTGAGGTGGGCTAACTTTTACGACTTTTTGTAAGTTCTGATTCTGTTGGTAAGATGGCCTTACTCCTCTGTCAGAAAAACTGTATTTTTTGTGGACAGCCAGTTCTGTGTTTGGTATGTAGTGGCTCTGGGAGAGCTTGCCTACTTCTTACTTTCTCCATCTAAGGTATTCTTCCCTCAGCTTTATGTTTTTACTGCCTTGGCTTGGGGAGGACTGTCCTACTTCCACCCCTGGATTACCAGCTTTTATTCTGTTTCTAGGTTTTGTTCCTTTGTAGGACAGTTTCTGCAATGATAATGCAGAAACTTCTACCACCTGATGTTCTTATTTCTTCCAAGATAATTGAGATCTGAGGGAAAATTACATTAGAAGTGCAACTTATTTATTTATTTTTGAATGGGACATGTCTGAAGAGTTATTTACAGTTGGTGTGATTTGGGTGCATTTCCTACCTGACATGAATGCTAAGTAAGAGCTCAAGTGGGCAGGTATGTTATAAAGTTTGCTGAAGTGTAGAAGCTAGTGTACACAAGTTATCTTGCTCTTAGCACAAACTGTATTGTCAGTCATAAGCCTTTTGTGGAGCCCAAGTGTTAGTTTTCACCATTTAGCATTTGCTACGCTGCTTTCTGTCCTCTCTGCAGAGGCCTTTTGAAATATATTTTACATATTTTGTGATTATACGCCACATTCTAACATCTCTTTAATTCCTAATTCAGATAAAATTAAACCAGTAATCCGTGTTTATTTTCCCTCCTGAAGAAGTGAAAATTGATTCTCCTCTGTTTTAGGAGAAGCAAAGATTTTGGGCAATGAGCTGTTTACTTTTCTGACTGTAATATTAGTTTAAGAAGGAAAAAACCAAAAGACATTCATTTAAAAATCACTTTCTCTTTGCAGCTGTAATATATCAAGGGGAGGGAGTTTATAATGAGCTTAAACAACATACACAACTTGTCCTTCTTTTTCTTTTTCCTTTCCCTTGGCTGCAGTAACAAAGAACAACGTCTTTATGCCATCAAGCTTCTGTGAAACTTCTACGGGCAATTCTGACTCAGAACCAGGTGAGCTTCCTCACTTTTCTGCTTTTCTCAGCAAACTGCTGTTGGTCTGTCACAAACCAAAACCAACTATTGCATGATATTTTAAAAGTAAGCCTCTAACTGGGAGAAGGGAAGTGGTGGTTCCGATCTTGCAACTGTTATGTTCTTCACTTAATTGCTTGCTTTTGTGCTTGCTGGATGCTATTAAAATAACAATTAACAGTCATAACTCTGGGATTAGGGGAGGAGGTCTATCTAAGATGACCCTATTCACACCTCTAAACTACAAGATAAAACTTTAGGGAAATTTTCAGATATCTGCTTTAGATACTGGGGGTTTTTGTTTTTTTTTTTGTTTTATTTTTTTATCTGAAATCAAATCAACGATGAGACTGAAACTATTGAATCTTACATGCAGTTAGTTCCTCTGTTCACAGTACTGCTTATTTTGTTAATCACCCTTGCTCTGTTATCATTGTATAGCACATTATTATCTTATGCTTAGATGGCACTTGAAAAATGTGCTCCAGGAGCGCACTGAACATAGTTTAACTATGTGGTAAGGTGCTGAGGCTCTCAGTTGACTCTTCTTCCTGAGTACAGCTGTTATGCTCCTTAAAACATAAATTTACCTTGTAAGATAATGAAATTATCTGCAAGTTCTTTAATCATTCTGGATTTAGGAAAGCTATTATTATTATTATTAAAATATTTTTTCTGAAAGCCTGAACTTCAATAAGTGAGCACAACCATAGGAATTTCTATGGTCATTTTACCATAAAAGCATAAGGTAACAGCTAATGGAATTACAAGAAATTAATGTTATGTTTAACTTATTTCTGATAATTAGCAATTGGGTGCTTGTTGGCAGCTGTCGCATTCAATCATACTTTTGATTTTACCTTTTCCTACTTATTGCTGCTATTTCTTAGCCATGAATTTTTCCTTTAACTTTGTTGGAAGGAACTCTTTCACAAAAAAAAAAGAAAGAAAGAAAAAAAAGAAAAAGTTCTGTGTTTCTCCAGAAAAACAATTTTCAGTTTCTTTCTTGCAACAACTTGTGCTTCTGTCTTCATGATGTGTATTTGTTGTAATGTTCACTGGCAATTTTAACTTATTTTTAGTAGAAGGAAATCTGCTCTTTGGAAGTTTCTTATGACTTTGGGTATTTATAGAGCTTGTGAGTTGTTATAGTGTTGAAGACGAGCAATTTTATGACTGACTATCTGAAAGTATTTACTGTGTTTCATCTATGTCCTTGTAATTTTTAATTTTGCTTCTAGAGGAAAAGAGCAGTGGATTCCGGCTGAAACCACCAATACTTATCCACGGTCAGGCACCTAGTGCAGGTAAGTTCAGTGTTTTCAGCAGCAATGGAAAGGAACTATGGTAGGTCAAGCATCTTATCTAATGTAAGAATTTCCTCAAACTACTGTTGTTACTGGAGGTTGATAATACTTCTGTTTATGCAGGAAAAAAGCTTGTATCCTCCAGAGTGGTTATGTCCATATCCACCACGTAACGTGTATAGATACATTAGAATTTTAGTTTTAGCTCAGTCACACATTTCTGAAATGAATCTCCTGGTTGTCTCTGCTTAGTATGCTTTGGCTCACTACTTAGAGTAGTCCTGCACTGCATGAAATAAATTTCTTCAGTATCAGACTGGAACAAAAGATACACTCCAGGAACGCACTGAACAAGTTCCAGTCATTAATGGGCACTGAATCTGGGCCCAGGCTAGAGCCAAGTCTGAAGTACTTGTCCCTTCCCACTTCTCCCTCTCCTTGGCCAATGAGCATAGCATAGGCGTCTGGTTCTGAACCTGTTCTGCTCTACAGTTTTCTCCTGTTGAGCTTCTTATTTGCTAATGTAGACCTAGCCAGTATGGGATGGACGTTAATATTATAGCTCCATAGGAGTTTGAGGAAATAAAACTGATTTTTGTTAATGGAAGTCATTGTTTGTTATCTGTATGAAAACTGTTCATATCATTTGTGGGAAGAATAATAAATTATTTAAAAAATTATCAAATTTGACTTGCATTCTAAGGAAAAGTTGATGTATGAACATTTGGGCATAGGACAATCTGTATATTTTGGTTGTTGTCTTGTGCTTTGAATGTAGGTGGCTTTTGTTGTTACAAAATATTCAAGAGTTGCTATGGGTAACTTCTTTCACAGTATTTTAATGGATCCAGAGTTCATCTTTGGTTTTCAGTGAAGAAATCTGAAATTTTGGGGGATTTCCAAAGCTTTCTAGAGTTGATCTTAAAAAAATAAAAAATAAAATCTTAACAAGGATGTTTTAAAGGCAATTGGCTTTCTGAATTAGAGCTCTATAAAAGAATTGTAGTGCCTTATATTTTTCTACACCAAACCAAAGAGGCCAGGTTAGTTCTAAGAGCTAATACATCTGATTGTATAAGAATGAAAAAAAGAAGTTATATACCACTATCTGGAAATGACTTCATTTGAAGTAGAAAATGAGGCTTGGGGGGATGTGTAGCTGAGAATTACTTTAGTGAATAAATGGGATTGCTTTGGTACTGTTCATTTCCCTTTCATTTAAAGGCTTTTATTTCTGAGTCACTGTCATAAATTTTGCCTGTGTGCTTTTGTGGATAGGGTAGAAATTATATTTAAAAATTTATTTGAAAGCTAGGAGCAAAACAGTTGTCCTCTCTCTTTGGGACTAATTCTTTCTTGGGGTGTGCGGATGGGGCCTGGTAGTGAAGGGGGAGGAGGGGAACCCAAACCCAACTTTTCAGTTGTCTAGTGTTCCATTATATGTTCTTTTGGAACACAGAAAGGGTTAGATGAAACTAAATTTCTTGACTTTAAAGCTTTATAGCTCTTGAAAAGGCTTTCCACTTGCAGGTCTCCCAAGTCAGAAACCGAAGGAACAGCAGCGAAGTGTGCTACGTCCTGCAGTATTACAGGCACCACAGCCAAAAGCTTTCTCCCAGATAGGTAAATAATGCATTTGCTTTCCAGAATATTGCAGACCGAGAACAAAAATGCTAAATCTGTTTGGCACAGATTTACTCAGCAGCTGCCTTTATTTTTCTGAGTTTTTCATTTCAGAAAAGAAACATCTTAAATGTTAAGTATATCTGTGTTACGTAAGAAATAACACAATGGAATCTTCCGTGCTTGTATAGGATTGCTGTCTTAAACTGCCAAGGTCTGAACTTTGGTGTAGTCCGTGCTTGATTTATTTTTTGGAATAGAAATACATATAAGGGTCTTTTGGATTATAAAAAACATTTAAGATTGGCAGTTTCAAATTACAGCCTTGACCATAATGTAGTAAGGTACTGATGATCAGTTGAGCAATAGTAGCAGACTTTCACTAGCTGCAAAGTGATATAAAATGCCTGAATCACTAGAAGGCGCCTCTGGGGTGGGGATCGTGTTGAAGCTAGAACATTGAGCTTGACTTTTCATTCTTAACTTGATTATGTAGAGTATACTTATTTTATTGTTCTGGAAATTAATATAGCTAATAGAAATAGGCATGATTGGAGACTGGAACTTTAAAGCAAAAACCTGTTCAGTGTTCATGTCTCCTAAACTTCTGTTCCCTCGTCCAACCCTACCAGCCTTCCCCCTTCCATTATTTTGAAGTTTAGCTGAACTCCGAGGGGAACAGCTTCAGCTACAGTTGTATCTGGCATAGAGCCAAACATTGCCAGCTTCATTTCTGGGTGTGCCTGTTGGCACGGATTGAATCCTACAAAGCTTAAGTATTGGGGTATAAGTTTTTTGTATTCTACATAGTTTTCAACAAGAGTTTACTATGTAAAGAGATAGTTTAGTCCAAAGAGGAGCCCTGCTAGACGTGCACAGTAGGACAATATTAGATTTCTCTGTGTGTGTGTGGTTTTTTTTTTTTTGCTTGAAGTTGTATCTGTTGAAATACTTCAAGTGTTTATGCAGACTAAGTATTTTACTGACTTGTTTTTTTGCATTTGGAGTCCTGATTCTACTAAGAACTGCTGAATTCCTGTCCTCATGTATCTGTGTCACAAAACCAGTCTCTCAGAGTACTGTGCCAACACTGTGATTTACATTAGTGTTTGTGGACTTAAGAAAAAACAAAAAACAGCACGCAATTTACTATAGAAAGCTTACTTCTTCTGGGATGCTCTAAATGCCTACAGAATTAATGTCGGCTTGTTATTCCATATTTCAGTCCTGAGCAGTGGAACCAATGGCGTAAATATCTCGCCAGATTCTGCAGCCACATCAGAATCGCTAAGTAATGCAACGCTGAAGAGTTCTGACTCTGAAGACAAGGTGAGTTTGAAAAGGATTCAAAGGACACTCAATATGAAAGATTTTAAAACAAATATTCTCCTAATAGAATCGATTTGTTTTTCTAATGTGAGTCCAGTTTCATCAGTGATGGCCCCCTTACCTATCCATACATTGGTAGTGCACTTTAGAAGTGGTAGTAGGTTGCATACTGTTGTATGCTATGCTACCTTTACTAAATCAAGAAATGCAGCATAGTTCTACTGAATCAAAATACTACTGTTCAGGATGGTTTTTGTCATAACTGCCTTCCCTTTACAAAATATCAATGAGTAAGCAGTTCTACTTTTTTAAAGCTCTTCTAGCTTTCTTTCTAGTCCTACTGTAAAAGTCCTACTGCAGCAGATGCCTTCCCCTGTTCATGCCTGTTGCTGTTTCCCAGGGTTGGCATTGATTTCCTGTAATTTGAGTGTCTTGTTTCAGTGGACTGAGTCAGAAAACTGCTTTTTCCTCTGTTAAGATTGCATGAAGAAATATTACTTTCACCTGCAGGTGCATCTCAGTCTCTGTGCAGTCAGTGGAGCAGGAGAGTATGGAACTCCTCTCCTCTTGGGGGGGAAGGGGCAAAAAAGGCTATCTCCATGCCACGTCTGATTGGAGCTCCTGTCAGGCCAGAGAAACTGGGAAGCATTTATAAAACTCACGTTCCAGTCTGAATAGTTTTTTGGTTTTGAGTTGTCTTAACGTTCGTAGTCAGGATTGACCACCTGCCTGAAGTTGTCTAAAACAGCTGTAAGTAACTGAGGTCAATGTGGTAGCTGTTAAGTGCTGCAGTCTCTCTGATGCAGAAGATCAAATTGCTTGATTATACTGAATGGTCACTCCTGGGATTAGAAGTTTCATGTTAGCAATTATATGTGTAGATCTGTGGCACAGATTTGATATGCCACAGAGAAAAAACTTCCTTGGGAGGATAAGTCTATATGGTATTTTGCAGTCAGATATAAGTCTGGTTTGTCCTTATCAGAGCAGATGTGAGTAATGCTCAGGGTCATCTTTTACTGGCAGAAAAGATTTTTCTTTGAGGCCTGTATATTTTTATTACTCTGCAGTGTAGCAGAGTGGGAACACTCTCTGTCCAGCATTGTCCTGCTCTCAACATCTCTCTGGAGATCTGTGCCTATTCAGACTCGGCTCTTTCTGTCTTTCTAGAAAGCCCCTAGGAAACTGCAAAAGCCCTAAGAAACGTAGTCCCTAGATGGACGCAAGCTGCAGCCTTCTATGCAACTGCTTTTGATTGGTGGGGGGAGGATGGGGGCTGACGTTTATCAGATATGCAGGGAAGCTTGATATTCAGCTGTTCAAGCCTAACATGTAGTCCTTGCCCATTTTGGCAGCAGGGAAATACTGAGAAAAATCCTAAAGGAGGAGGACATGTTAAGGAGAACCTAGGCTAATGATTTTTCCTTTCTGGTCAACAGAATGCCCCTTCCCCTGCCTGCACCATTCATGGTGAAGGGCTATTCACAGCAGGTAATGCTGGCCCATTTCTGACTATCGACAGACAAAGGATGCCTTTAAAATGCCAGAATTAGATTCTGAAGGCAGATGTTACATCTAGGTTATATAAAGGAAATGTCCCTTAAACATAACATTGATTTTTGAAAAGCTCCTTTGTACACAATCCAGTATGATTTTCCTACTGCACGTTTTCCCCTCTCTGTCATGTGGGGAAAGTAGCATGGCTGTGGGCCCATCTGAAGCACCTGTACACAAACACCTGTGTTTCTCTATGTGAGAAATGATTAGGAGGAATTGGAGTACTCTATCACTATCCGAGTGATAGAGTAATATCACTCGGATAGCTGGAGTACTGCATTGGATGCATATGGGCTTTTTAGGAAGTAAAGCAGAAAAAGATGGAGGGATATGCTCTGCTCTTTTCGGAGGAGCTGCTTGAATGCAGAAAGCTTTGCTTTGGGACAGGTGAGGAGTTGATCAGTTTATGCCCCTTTGATTGGAGAGGAAGCTAACAATGAGGAGATTACTTCTATTACTATAGATGAACAAGAGCTCCTGTGCTCAAGTGCAGAAAGGAAGTGTACAGAAAGTGGAAATGAAGTTGAGCTACGCAAGAGGTATACAAAGGGATTGCCTGGACGTGTAGGGACAGAATTAGGAAAGCAGAATCTCAGCTGAAGAGGGAAATGATGGGACAGAATGGCTGCCAGAAGGGCTTCTACAGGTGCATTAGCAGCAAAGGCAAGATGAAGGGAAGCGTGGGCCTGCTGCTGGATAGTGGAGGGAACCAAATGATGAAGGATGTGAAAAAGGCTGAAGTAGTCAGTGTCTTTGTCTTGTGTTGCTTTTTGGCCTTTTTTTCCGTCTGGTAAGGTCTGCTGTCTGGTTTTTGAGGTGTTTGGGGGGGGGGGGGTTAAGTATTACTCGTGATAGAGGAAGATTCATTTATGGACCACCTGACCAATTTGACATGTACAAGTCCATGGGACCAGACAGGTTGCATCCATTGGTGGTGAAGGAGCTAGCTGGTATCTTTGTGAGACTGGTGCCTGTCATCTTTGAAAGATTGTGGTGATATGGGAAGGTCCCTGTGACTGGGGAAAAAGCAAACATCACATCTATTTTCAAGGAGGGCAAAAAAGAGAATCCAGGAAAACTACAAACTGCTTAGCCCCCTTCTTCTTTCCTCCCGGTCCCTGGGAAGGAGTCCTGCCATATGTAGTGACTGAGAACAGCCAGCATGGATTTACAAGGGATAAACAGTGCATGACCAACCAGATCCCCGCCCTGAGATGAGGTGACTGGCTGTACAGAGAACAGGAGAGCAATGGGTATCGTTTGCCTTAACTTTAGCATGTGTTTGATGTGGATGGTGTGCAGTACCATCCTTTATAGTCAAATTGGAGAGAGATATACTGGATAGAATTTAAGGTGTGTGGAGAAACTGGCTGAACCAGTGATCTTCAAGGGTAGAATTCAGTGGTTCAAAGTCTGGGCAGTCAGTCACTAGAGGTGTTCCTTTAGGCTTGATATCGAGGCTAGTACTATTTAATATTTCCATCAACAACTTGACAAGGTGGAGTGAATTTTGTTAAGTTTGTGGATGTCAGTAAATTGAGGGTGGGGGAAAACAATATGTTGGCAGGTATGGCCATTCAGAGGGATCTGAGCCAGGTTTCAAAAATGGGCCAGTAGAAATCTCCTCAAGATCAAAAAATGGGAAGTCCTATACCTGGAATAAAGTAGGCCACATGCCACAAAACGGGCTGGGGAGTGACTGGCTAGAAAGCAGCTGCACAAACAGGGATTTGGAGGTCCTGGTGTTGCACAAAGGATGTTGAGACAAATTCACATGCACAAAGATTTACTAGCAGAGTCTATAGCTAATGACATTGACTATCAGTGAACGTTAGTTTTGGGGAGAAACAAGAAAAGAGAGGGAGAAAGAAAAGGGAAGAACTCTCCGCATTGGCCAGCCAAGAAGAAAAATGATGGGAGGTCCCCAGACAAGCATCCTCTCCATCACGGCAGGTGGTCCTCCCTTTTCCCGTAGTAGCTATATATTTTTCATCAGGACCTGCTCAACTCCCTGTTGTTTGTTTCTGCTTGTGATGCTGTTAGTGCTGATTGGAGTGTGCTTTGATGAGGGGCAGGTGCTGGGTGCCGATTGATTGTTAAGCTTTGTTCATGCATATTATTGGGTTCTCTAATGTAAATAAAAAGCAGCAACTACACAGTAAGAAAATGGAGGGAAGAAGGGGTGATTCTCATGCTGGTGGCAGTTGCTTCCCCGGAGAGCTTGCCTTAACAACAGTTAAGGTGGTTCGCAGGTGCGAGACTCTGGGAATAACAGCGTGAGAACTACAGCATGAGAACAATGGAGGAAAAATATTGGCATAGCAGCTCTGGAAAACACTGCCATGGCAGGTGTGGTGAAAGGTTACAGAGCTGCTAGTAGAAGGCAGAGTCTGCAGAGTTGCGGGTAGAAGGCCTTTAGCACTACAAAGGCTTCAAACACCTAAAGCACTGTGCAATGGTGAGGAACAGCAAGTTGAGCAGGAGTGAGCAGTGCATCCTTTTATTGGTTAAGACAAACTGGGCTGCTTTATGAAGACTGTAGCCATTAGGTTAAGAAAAGTGATTATTCCCCTCCACTTGCCACTGGTAGGGCTGCATCAGGAGTACTGTGCTTTGTTTGGGACTCCCCAGTGCAAGGCAGACACTGACAAACCACCAAGATGATTAGTGGCTAGAGCACATGATATCTGATGAGAGGATGTGAAAGCTAGGTGTCTTCTGCTTGGACAAGAGAAGACTAAGGGAGGGAAATAGAATTTTTCTTCTCAGTTACCTAGTGTGACAACAAGCATAATTTACAGTGGTGCGGGGGGATTCTAAGTGGGTATTAGGACAAAACTTTCACGTTAGTGCAGTCAAACATTGAAACTGGTTACACAGAAATTGTAGGACTTTCATCCTTGGATATGTTTGAAATTTGACTGCACGAGGCCCCAGGCAGCCTAACGTAACTTTAAATTTGGCACTGCTTTGAGCATTTGGACCAAATGACATTTAGAGGTCCCTTTGAACCTTAACTATTCTGTGATTCTTTAAGAAAGGTTCTCTAAAGGAGAATAGATTTATTTGTTTTTTTTTTTAAATACACAAGAATAGCTCAAAACATAGCAGTCACAACTGTTACTGGCTAATCTTTACTCTTGTGCTTGGAGCATTACCATTACAGAGAAACAGTGTTTGTTTCAGTCGCTACATTTCAGACAAGTTCTCATTCTACCTGTCTTTTTAGGCATGTCGTTTAATTAGCTAGTTTCTTGTGGCTTACAATGTAGTCACTGATGAGAGGCAGGCTTGTCTAAAAGTAACTGAGAGGAGGCTTTTGGTTCAGGGGGAGCAAGTGACAGAGGGTGTTTATCCCTTTCTTTTGTTTTCAGTTATTTCTTGATTCAACAGTGATAACTGGCCTCATGTTGATTTTTTTGTTACTTGCTGAAATTGCCAGAGACTGCAAGATGTCTTATAAGATGTCCTAAAATAAGTGAATATTACATGTGTCAAATATCTAGAAGTAGTGGTAAAGGAAAAATACCCAGTGGCTTTAATATCAGTGTGGTGGTCTTGTTGTGTTGTTTTGTTTTAAGAAATTGGTCTTAATCTAGGCTAAAGTTCTCAATTCTTTTTCTTTAGGTAAGAGAATGTCAGAAAAAAGAATCTAACAACGCTTCAGATGATGACAGCTGTGAGAAGGCAGAGCTCAATGCACAGCAAGCATTTGTATTTGGGCAAAACTTAAGGGATAGAGTTAAGGTAAAAGCGTTTGTTATCTTGACTGAGAGTTGTTGAATTTAAGTGATAAGAAACAGCAGAACAGATCATTTGTTGGCATATGCATTGCATACTGTTATATTTATGAAGCTATTTTAACCCCATTATACAATGGTTTCAGGCTTCCATGTACATATCAAAAATAGGACCTGTGAACACAATTCAGTTGGCTTAGTAAAACTGGTCTTCCAGTCATTTAATAAAAAAATGCTACTGTTTAGTGTAAGAAGCTTTTTCAAAAGTAAAAGCAGCTTTTATGGTCATAGGCAATGTCTAAAACTCTGGTGAAATTTTTTTTTTTTTTTTCTTGCCTTTTGGGTCAGAGTTAAGTTGAAATGGATTTCTAAGATACTCACTTTGCAACAAAGATTTCACAGAACAGGAAAAAACACAGGGCAGCATGGGTTCAAACCTGTAGGGGTTAATGAGTTGGACCATTAGTACCTCCTGTGTAAGACCAAAAAAAGTATAATGCTGGGACGTAGACTTCTGTGGTTTTATTGCAGAAAGAGTTTGCGGATGGAACTTTGTCTTGAGAAAGAATGCTGATAATTTTATGGTTGGTAGTTAAAACTAATACATTTATTTATTTTACAGCTCGGCGATGAAAGTGATGAGACTGCTGATGTGCAAAATGCTGGCCTTCCAACGTCAGACGCACCTTCTGCAACAAATTATTTTTTACAATACATCAGTTCCAGGTGAGACTACAGCAAAACCTATATGACAGCTTTGCTTAGTTTATGTACAAAATTATTTGTGATTCTGTTTTTTACTGGATGCAGGGCTAATACTGGCTCAGTGGGAACAAAGGCTTCTGAAGAATGAGGTGATAAACTTCAGATTTTTTTTTTTTTTGGTCTTTAATTTCTCTCTAATCATGGATCAACACCCCCCCTCCCCCCAGTAAAATGCATTCATAGCATCATCTCAGCTGTGTGCTTCAGATGTCTTTTTTTGACAATGGTATGAAAGTCTTCAGGAAATTTTCTTCCTACTCGTGCCTGCAAGTGAAACGTCCAAGGAATTGGCTGTCCCAGTATGATTTTGTCTTACTTCCTATCTCTCTCTGACTTTACAGTGAAATGACAATAATAGAGCCTCTAATTTACTGTCCCATTCCTTTGAAGCACTTTCAACCTTGGCATTGGCAGTTCAGCTATGTGGAGATCCATACATACATTCAATAAACTTTATACTGTTGCTAAGGCTTTTAGGCATGACACAGTCTTGAGAATGGTGTTACTGCAGTGTTTGCATAATAACTTTGAGATCCCTCTTCATGTGCTGGGCATGTTGCAGATAATACTTGCTCAGTGTATGTATTGGATGGCAAATGTACCAAAGAGGAAGAAAAGTGGTTTTGCAAGATGTGTTGTCTCTGCTCATGCTCTGAGATACCTCCATCCAAGCACTGATTGCCAAAGAATTCTTTGTGGTTGTAGCACTCTGCCGCACAGTGGAGTGTAAGAAAAAATGATTATGGAATAAAATGGCAAAATGAGCAGAAACAGATCGTCAGAACTTGGCAATATTAGCAGAGAGTCCTAAAAGAAGTAAAGGTTGAAATAACTAAAATACTAAGTGATGTATAATTTAACAACCTAAGTAACAGGCTCAGAGAGCAGCTCTTATGACTCCAGGTCTAGTGAAGAGGTTCTAGATTCACTTTGATATATGTAGGCCTAGTAAGGTCTAAATCTATACTAGGCAATTAATAGAAATAAGAGTAAAATTATTGGACAAACAGATAAAATGTGGTATATTGATTGAGAAAGAGTCAGCAAATGTTTGTAAAGGGAAATTGTGCCTTATAAGGTCACTGGAGTCCTTTGAAGGAGTCCTCAATCGTCTTGTCATGGGAGATCCAAATGATTTCATCTACCTAATGATGATAGTATTTTAGAGAAAACACTTGACAAGCTCCTTCACCAAAACCGCTTGAGAAAACCAGCTAGCATGAGAGAAATTTTTTTTCATGAATGATAAAGTGATGGAATAAATGGAGCTACCAGTGGAATCCTGTAGAATCTGTGCTGTATTTGTATTATACATTGAATAGTATTTCATAAATGACATCGATAAGGGGGAAAATAGTGAAAAAGTGATTTGTTCATGATGCCAAGCTCTTCAGAGTAATATAGAGGACCTCTTATGAATAAATACAGGCCTAACTGCAGAAGGTCTTTGAGAGACTTTCTGATTAGGCAATTGCATTAGAAGAAACTTGAGGTAGGCACATGTAAAGTGAGGCAGCTGCAAGAAAACTATGCTTATATCACATATACAGTGATGGGCTCTGAACGCCACCAAAGGCTAACATGTTGATATTGCTCTATGAAAATGTTAGCTCAGCGCTTAGTAGTGGTCAAAAAGGAAGTAGTGTTACAAAAAGGATAGAGAACATAATTTTTTTTGCTACACAAAGCAGTGAGTGTAGTCCAAATAATAGCTGGAGAAAGCATGGAGAGGGGAGCAGGGAGACACTGAGAGCAGTGGAGTAGAACCACATTTCTGTTTCTGGAAGGACTTGAGCTGCAGATTGTTTGAGACTATGAAATAATTCTAGAAAAATATCATTGTGTGCTTGCCTTGTCCTTATGTACTTGCTTTCTTAAGAACTTATTGTTCACCTACGTTGTCTTCACTGCAAACTGGGTACTAGGCAGTTTTAAGACTATGCAGTCTTAGTCCCTTTTTGCACTGAAATCTTCCAGGGATGCGCTGGAGAGGTAGAGAACACCACAAAGTCAGTGTCTTTCCAGAGACAGACTGTCAGATATTTTATGAGATGTGGCAGACTGTAATTTCCAATACGTGGTCTTCAAACACTGGAATATTTACTTATATCTTTCAACCTGTACAACACTGACTTCCACCGCTCAAATCTTCAGTTTGGGAGCAAGGGTAAGAGTTCAGGGTAAGGCAGTTGCTAGAAACCTACTTTTGGGTCTGCCCCCAGAAAGTTTAAAAAACTTCAGTGTCATTAAATGAAGTTGGCTCTGGTTGATACCTGAGATAGCAAGACATGAGGGCAATTAACTTGTAAAAGAACTCCTCGCTTTGTATATCAGACTCTCAATCCTTCTTTAAAAATTCTAAAGGTACTAGGTTACATGGCAGATGTCAGAAGGTCATATTCAATTCCCAGTTAGCATTTGGAGCTCAGAACTGTGGTATTAAATACCCTTAGCAGGCAAAGCTTTTTTCCCCTCAGGATTTCTTCTGTTCTTTGAATCTCAATGCCTGCAGAGTTGTTCCTTCTACTCACTCTAAAGGTTTGTTTGGCTCTACTTGGATCATGTAGAGACGTGTGTGTGCCTGTTTTCCAGACTTCAGGTGAAATGCGTGTAGGCTTGATTTAAAATGATCATCACTTAGTAAGCACATTGATGTCTTTGAATCGCATTTCAGCTTGTTTTTGTGGCTGATGGTCTTGGGCAATGTTTGCAACAAGATGCCATTTAATACCCATCTATCTGCATCCTTGCCCTCAATTGTGGGATTTGCTCTTCTAGCTGGGAGGCTTGCTCTGGGGCAAATGGCTCAGCATTTGTGGATTTGATCAGGTAGGAATTGCATTTGAGAAAGCTGAGGAGGACTCCCTCTGCAAGAAAGGGCTCATCTAGAGTTTCAGCAACAGTGGCTTCTCTGAGAAACTATCCAGTCTTTTTGAAATCTTCATTTTTTTCCACTTGTAGCTCTAATGACACTTTCTTTTAAAACTACTTCTGTTGAATTTCGACAGCTAAGCTTCTGTCTGTGGCTTTTGCAGCTCACTTGCTTGGATCAGTTTGAGGAGATAGTTGGTGGACAAGAAGTTCAGGGCTATGTTATATTCTAGCAAAAGGACAGCGACTAGAATGCAAGAACAGACATTATCACTAGTTCTAAGATAAGGTGAGATTTAGTGTCACACGTGCTAGAATCTCAGTCTTTCCAAAGTATAAAGGACCCTGGTCTCCAGAGAAAACAGGAGGACTAATATTAATGCTCTGGAACTTTTTGCCATGGGAGAAGTTTGTGATTCATTCTTATGTAGCCTCTGAAACTTTATAGCATGGAACCAAAATGCACTGAGAACAAGGGAAAAATTGCTTGTTAATAGTTTGGCAGGATAATAAATTGTAACATCGTGTAAGCCTAATTACTGTGAGGTAAGATTCCCCTCTAGCTGTTACACTTTTGAAGTAGAAGTCTGTGATGAATGACTCATTGTAGAGGTCTGTTACAGAGCACTGTTTCTTTCATAGTTGGATTTATTTACCATTAAAGAAAAGACCATGAACTTATTTTGCCTAGAAGGCGTGATCCTTCAGCCTGTCACCCATAAGCTGTGGGGGATCAAATGTTTAGTGATCTAGATTTAGGTGTCCACATATAAGCACTAGTGTTTGAGTCAGTCACCCTAGACTTCCTCAACAGTCAATGAAGACTTAGTGAGTGCCTCCCCTGGTGAGTACCATAGGGCATGACTAATGTGACTGTGTGCAGGCATTCATTATAGGACCAGAGTAATTGCACCTGTGTTGCATTGGCTAGATCTAAAGGCACTGCAAAGGTTGTTTAGGCAAGAAGCTCAAATGTAGCTGCTTTACATGTAAAATTAGGTGGGGCTTCTATGTCATGCAATTTTTTTGTTGAACTGCACTGAACTTTAGGATGATATCCTTAGCCAAATGAGATGGTGGTCATTTACTTTGCAGCTCCTCAATGGTCCGGGTGCTTTTTCCTGTTTGTTGCAGATGTGTATTATGTTCGTCATACAGACCACCTTGACCTCATTATGCTCTATCCTCACAAAGGAGCGCTCCTTAATACAACTTTAATTCTCTGCTCTGGGCCCAACCACAAATCGAAAAGTTTTGATTGACCAGTGATCTTGGTATCATCTTCTAGAGCCCTTCACGTCATGCTTTGAATCTGTTCAGAATGGATCTTGCCTGATCTTACTTACAAAAATAAGTCTGCTTAGTAGCAGTCACAGTGATCAGGGGAAGAATTTCAAGTTCTGGTAATTATCCTCTCAAAATCTTTCATAAGAAGAGGATGGTGTTGCAACCTGCAACCTCATCTGATTCAATGTTAGGACAGTTTTGAAGCTCTTTGTGAACTGAGGAATTAATTTCTTTCTTCCTCAGAAGTCCCAATCAAGTTGTTGATGATGGATGCTTTCAAATTCCTTTATAAACTGCAGCATCAGAACTGAACTGTTCGGACAGTATCTCTTTCTTTTTCTTTCTTTTTCTTCTCTTCACCTTTCCTAGCAAGCACAGAGGCTCATCTTGTTAGGGTGCATACCAGCATCTTCTACTTTTTTCAGAAGTATGTCAGTTTCTTTTTTCAGTCATTGACTGTTTCCTCTTGAACCTGAACATTAGAGCCAAACTCAACTTTTAGAAAGGTATGCCTGAAGGGAGGGTGGATGCACGATGACTTGTTAGTTGCTGTGGGAAATTGTAGAATGGTGGTAAACCTGTTGCCCTTCTTAAATTGGTTATAAAAGTTGTTAATGAAATCCACGTAGGAGAAGGATGCTTGTACTGGAAGAACTGTATATTCACTAAGGAAGATGTGAGGTTTGAGACTGATTGTGAAACTTTTTGGGGAGGCTATGACATTGCAGCTTGTCTAATAAAAGATATTACTGCTCCCTGCTACCTTTGCCTCAGTTGTGTTATTGCAAGTGTTTTAATTCTTTTCCTGACTCTCAGAGAAAATTGACCTCTTATCTCTGGGGGAAAAAAAACCCAGGGAAATCCATAAATTCTAGACAGTACTAAGAGGCAAGCCTCTTAAGATTAAATGTCTAATGTTTTGTTTACCATGCATGTGGAATACTGTTAAGAACAGTATGTAATATGATTAAACAATAAGCCCTCACCTAGCATTCTGCATTATTCAACATGTAATTAGATGTGTTTAGGGTAAAATATTTACAGTGAGAAAAATCATTTGCTCTTATTCAGAGCAAATTCTCATTCCGTAAAAATGCTTACGTGTTCTTATGTTGTCTCATGTTACCAAGTTGAATTAAATTTTGCTTTTGTTTCTTTGGAAGCCAGTAATTGATTTTTTTTTTAAAGCCAGTGACAGTTGCTCATGTTTTAGGAAGCTTATCAGCAATTGATAAATAGATAGTTTTCTGACTTAAAGTTGTGGGTTTTTGTTTGTTTTCCTTCCAGTCTAGAGAACTCTATGAACAGTGCGGATGTATCCAGCAACAAGTTTGTTTTTGGACAGAACATGAGTGAACGAGTCCTAGTGAGTAATTTTCTCAGTAGTTTGCGTTACAAATTCCCACTCTAGAAATTTAAGAAACTTTATTATTGTTACTGAAGCAGGCTATTCTGTCAGTGGTTTACCTTGTATGTAACTTTTTCAGTGTAATCTGATGGGTCTTGTTATGAGAGATTGTCTGCGTTAATTATCTGCAACTGCAGATCTCTCCAGGATTTCCTGGCCAAGCACTACCTGTGTGAGGAGATTGGATACCTTCTCCATAGCGCTCATGGTACTCAAATGCAAGCACTTCAGATATGGCACAGCTTGCTTCTCTTTTCAATGGCTTCTTTAGTATAAATATTTGAGCATACCTCATGCTTGCTGTCCTCCAAATTGAGAGAAGTTCATTAATGTGACTCCCCTAATGACGAGATTTCAAGTCCAACAGTAAGGCAGCTACCTCAGTACTGAGGTATGATTCAGGAAAGTCTATGCTTATTGTGTACCATCCCAAGGCATTATTTCTAGTGCCTTACTGCTTGCTGTTGCTGTATCGTTATGCTGGTGTAAAAGGGAAGCATTAATACTGTGCATTCATACCTATCTACCCATTGAGCAGGGAGGGTTGTTCAGTCAAGTATGCCTTGAGTAGAACTGTAGCTGAAAAATTGGTTTGATTTGTTGAACACGGCTTCAAAATGAGGGTCAAAATTCAGTTTTCTGTTAAGGGAAGAATAATTCAAACTGGTTTTTAGGTCAGGCTGCGTTTGACTCCGTGGTCAGGGCAGTAGTATAGTTTTTACTGTGGAAACATATCATTTGTGGGTTCTGCTATTGTGTGATTTATGAACACTAGGGGCTTCCTCCAGTAATTGCTCAGTAGTCTTTTTCTGTAAAACAAAAATTAATGTGTATGCTTTATTTCTTTTGTTTACCTCCTCTTATTTCACAAAGAGTCCACCAAAATCAAATGACGGTAGTACAGAGAGTAATAAGGAGAATGCTGCTACAGAGTCTGGATCTGAATCGTCTTCTCAGGAAGCCACACCAGAGAAAGGTGAACACCAAAATATACTTTTAGGAATGGTAGTTAATCCTGTTTTAAAGGATATTGCTTTTTTTTTTTTTTCCCCAATATCTTACTGCTTTAAGAACTTCTGTGTAGCCTTTATTGTCCCCTGTAACCAACACTTAAACACTGGCTTGGGGTGGGGAGATGGCATGTTGGATGCTATAGATCCTCTGGTTCTATTGTCTTTTAACATTAAATGCATACAGGCTACGCTGGCATTTTCATTGCCGTGCTACAGTATTGGGATTGTCTTAATCAGAATGAAAGTAGCAGGAATCAACTGAGAAGCTACTTGGATCTACAGATTTTAGAAGAAATGTGGCTACCCATTTTTTTAACAGTTCTGCTACACTTCCAGTGTCTGAGTAAAATGTATATTGTGTTGTGTGGGTGCACCAAATGTAGTGTTTGAACTAGGAAGTGTCTGCTGAATTCTAGACTTCTGTGATTCTTTAAATTGGCAAGATTTTCTGGAAATTTTGTCAGTTATGAGTTTTCTCCAGCAAACTGCTTGTGAGCGAGTGTGAGTGGAAAATGAATCATGCCTTACGTGTGTAAGTCCAATTGTGTAGCTCATTGCAGTATCAATACTGCTCAAATGCCTGCAGATATGGATGTGTCTGTGTGCTAGCAAAGGTTTTGCATAGTTGTATGTAGAAAAATTGCAAGTATGTAGGGACAAAATTTTCAGTAAGTTATCTCCTGTCCTTTACAACTTCCGGTGCTTTTAAAGCAAATCTTGGAAGTCAGACAGACTGCTTTAAACTTCAGATCTACTTCTAATCTTCTATTGCTGTCTGTCTTCTGTACTGTATTTCTCTAAATTCTGGGATACTTGTGAAACCTTTATAAATCTTCAATAATTATATGCAAATTGTTCTCAAAATAAACGTTCAAAATGTTGTTCAGCTAATAATATTTCAGAATCACTGGCAGAGTCTGCAGCAGCCTATACTAAAGCAACAGCAAGGAAATGTTTACTGGCGAAGGTAGAAGTGATTACTGGAGAGGAAGCTGAAAGTAATGTGTTACAGGTAAGAAACTGGTGAAGTAGAGAGAAGCTTTGCATTTGTGGAGATTGGTATGGCCATCTAGCAAATGCGTACTACCTGATTCTCTACAACTTGGCCATCCTGTGTATCTCTAATGTGCTGCTTTCTTGTGTTAAAATGCAAACTGTGGGTGTTTATGCTCAGATCCTTGTTTTGTTCCTTCTTAACTTCCTCTTTCTGAATAAAATTCCTAGTTTGGACAATCTAGGTAGCTGTTTTACAAGTCTTAAGTGTGCTTTCCTGAAGCAATCACACAAAAGCTTCCATCTTCTGCAAAACAATTATTTATTTAAATAGAAGTATTTTATTTAGTTGACCTAAATATTCTTTAAGTACCTTAATTATTTTACTATTGCAGATTATTTTAACTCAGAATTGGCTATCGTGACTAAGCAGTCTGGTTTCTTGCATAGGAGAAACCATAAAACAGCACTCAGGAGTTAGTGTTCAGGTGCTTGTTTGAATTAGTGATCTTTTAGATGGACATTCAATCATGATTCAAAGCTTTCCAATTTCAACGATGATTTATTTTGCAATGCAGTTGTTCGTTAATTTAAATATTTTTAATAACTTAAGTATATCTTTAAGAAAAAGATTTACACCAAAGCCCTGCACATAAGAGGAATATACCCCTCCCCCTTGTCCTCCATTTATAGTTTCTTACTATTGAGTTAGTCAACTGTTATGCTATTGAGGTATTTTTTGTTACAGATTCAGTGCAAGTTGTTTGTTTTTGATAAAAACTCTCAGTCTTGGGTAGAAAGAGGTCGAGGACTTCTGAGACTCAATGATATGGCTTCAACAGATGATGGAACTTTACAGTCTCGACTGGGTAAGAGGAACTATAGGAAGCGAATTGCTGGATGATAGTCTGCGTTACTTTCACAGGATGCTTCTGTGACAGATAGTAGTAGCCACTTTGGGTTTTATCTTAGTTATAGCAGCTCAGAAAGCAGTTTGGACCTTTTCTCTTGCTTCATTTAATAACTGTTTCCTCTATAGAGAGGAACTTTTCAGATCCTCTTATTGTAGCCAGTTCCAGTTACTTCTGGAATATTCGTTTTTTCCCCTAAAAGCAAGCTGTATTTTGCATTTAGAATATTTGACTAGAAATTACAGTAATATTCTCCAGATCTGAACTCTGTGCTCTTTTGGGGGACTGGGCATTTGTGGGGGCAGTCTCTGCTTTGAATAGTGCCCAGTTGTTCAAATGGGCAGGAATTTGCATTAGCCTGAGGTTATCAGCTCAGATCAGTGAACAGTGATTAATGACTTTGATCTGTGTATTAACATATCAGATTTGGGCATGTTTAATTGTCTAAATATCTTTAGACATGTCTGATACTCTGTAGCCTGCAGTCTTCTGATTAACAGTCAAGATTCCTGTTTTAAAGTATTTTTCCTTTCCTGATATTCCTTGTAAAGAGACTTACAGACACTTACTTAAAAAAAAAAAAAAAAAAAATCATGTTGGCTGTTTTTGAGCTTCCTGTTTTGTCTTTTTCCACCTAAGTAATCTTCTGTGTTGGCTCTAGTGATGAGGACTCAGGGGAGTCTCAGGTTAATCTTAAATACCAAGCTTTGGGCTCAGATGCAGATCGACAAAGCCAGTGAGAAAAGTATCCGGATCACAGCCATGGATACAGAGGACCAAGGAGTTAAAGTTTTTCTTATATCAGTGAGTACTTTTTTTTTTTTTTTTTTTGGCTTACCTCCTAATTTTCCCCTCCACGGCCATGTGTTTATGCGTGCACACGCATGCACACACACACACAAATGTACAAACCAGGTAACTGGCTTGACAGATTTCTCTTGTTTGAAAAGCATTACTAACTTTGAAGAAATTCCGCTTGGAAGGCTGCTCTATGCTATCCAAAGCATTGACATGGAGTTGTGGAAGCTGTTCGGTGCTCATTCAAAATGTAGATACAGTGTAAGATTAATTCTAATCCTCTTTTGTTAACAAGGAAAAGAGGAGGCATTTCATAGACTTCTATGTAATGCCTTACAAAAAATTAGATCTGCTAGAAGTTATGTAGCATGAGAGAACTGTCACTGTCTATAGCATGGATGGACATAGAATCTTCTTGACAGATATTTAATGCTTTGTTTTTAATCAGCCTCTCTATTAATAGTAAAACATAAAACATTTTAACTTTGACTTTCTTTTAAGACTGAGTATTCCGAGCAGTAACAGGCCAGTGAAATTGATTTCTGTGCCTGGTAAAAGAGGTGACAGCAATCAGAATTAGAATTACTAAAACACTTGTTGATTATATCACAATTTCTTAAGAAAGAGCAGTGATTCCCTAATATCATTAAGAAAACTTATAGAATTTGAGAGGTCTGACCACATTTTATTGACCTAGTCTGAGGAGAAGAATCAAGTGTTCTCATGGATCGGAAATTAAGAGAACAACAACAAATGGTCAGGTTTGCCTTTGACATTAGGTTTGTAGCACCAGTATCTGGAGTCCCAGAGTGGAACTAATGGTACCAAATATACATTAATGAATAAAAGAGCAAAGCAACGAGATGAGTAAATAACTCAAATTTGTTAAGTCTAGAGAAAATGCTGAGGGAAGTTAAATTGTCATCAGGTTATTCACTATTAATTTTAACATTAATAAAATGTATCTTGTATGAAATAATTCATTACAGCTTCCTTAGTGTGAGGAATTCATTGAGACAGTGAAGACCAAGTTTTGCAGTATTCAGGAAAGAGTTGTCTTTTAAATAGATAGTAATGTCTGTTAAATGCTTAGTTTGATGGGCCTAAAAATCCTTCATTTGAAGGGCTGAAGTGGCCATTAACCTTTGAGAATACAGAAAAAATATTCTGTGGAACAAGTTGTCACAAATACTTCCCTCTGAAACAGCTGGCCAGTGTAAGAGAGTGTGCAATAAATTTGAAGAATCACATCCCTGATGGCATGTTTGTTGTATTTTCTTATTATATCTTGTTATGTTAAAAATTTATGCAGTGTGTCATGAAACAGTTAAGTGACTTGATTATGATTAACAGTTTTTAACGATCTTTAAAATTAAGCTTAAGCTTTTGGGGGTATTAGGAAAGCTGCGTGACTCCTGGATGAAGAGGGTTGCATGTAATTCTTTGTAAAGTTGGCTAGTGCTGGTTTTGTTAGCCAGAGAAGTTTGGTGCTGAGCAGAGAGAAATATACTTTCATTATCAGAGTTGAATATATCTGGCATTTTACTATGTATTCTGCAACCAGTTCTGATCTAGTTTGAAAAACCCTGTATGGGAAAACTGAAAGGCAGGATGTGAAATGTTTGGCATGACTGCCTTGTATTACATAGGGAGTTGTAACAGAATAAAAAGACTGCTTACGCCTTTTTCTTGTTTTTGAAAAAAAAAATATATATATATATGTGTGTGTGTGTATATATATATAAAACGTAGGCAAGCTCTAAAGATACAGGGCAGTTGTATGCTGCGTTACACCATCGGATCTTGGCTTTGCGGAGTAGAGTGGAACAAGAGCAAGAGGTCAAGAATGTAGCACCTGAGCCAGAGGTAACACAATCAAATGAGGAAGACAGTGATGATGATGTCATTGCACCTTCAGGATCAGTTGGAAGTGGTAAGCAAGAAAGACACAAAATTTCCTGGTTCTCCATACATTTTTCTCCTTTGTCCTTTACAGCAGACTGTTCTCTCTGCAGCTGTATCCCATAGGTGTACTTCTGATCTGTTACTTCTCCCAAATGTTTCTGGAATAAGACTCGTTGCATAAATTGCCTTTTTGAATGCAAATATCTATAACTTCCAAGGACATGGAAAGTGTAATTGATTCAGTTGTATGTGAGGAGACCATAGTGATTAAAAAGGTACTAGTCATCAGTTGGAGGAAAGTTTTCTTCTGTACTCTTGACTGGAGTCATCTGTGCTTTGCCTTTCTACGGCTTAGAACATCCCACCTTTTACTGTGACTAGTCCTCCATCCTGATTTACAGCAGAAAAAAAAGGGAATAGGCATGAACAAAAGCAGTGGGTGGGCTTGGAGAGGCAGTTCTGGTGGAAACTGAGTGGCAAGGTTTTTTGGCTCTGGATGCTATTGGGATCCCAAAACCACATTGGTGAAGAATATAAATTTTTTTAGTGGACAGAACTTAGTCTGGAGAGGAAGAAATAAGAGGATAAAACTCTGCTGTTCTCATCTGACACTGAAATCCTAAATCTGAGACTTTTCTAGGCTTCTCAGAACAGGAGACAGATGCTTCTTAATGACAAAGAACTACTCTCTTTGTTTCAGGTCCTAACGATGAAGGTGACGGGCAGAATGTTGGCAGCACATAGCAGAAGTGAGCTGATCTGCTTGCAAGGCTGCTATGAACACCATCTTGCAGGCATCTCTCTGGATACCCCAGGCCAGCTATTGTTTCAGGCAGTGTTGAAAGCTCCAGGACTTGAGAACTGTGCATCCCTGTTCTGTTCGTTTGTTTTTTTGGTCTGGATCAGTAGATTCCACACAAAAAAAGCAGACTTGGAAACTACCTGAATGTGGTTTGGGATGTGAAAGCTCATCATATTGATGAGCCAAAAAAAAAAAAAAAAAGAATCCAAACATTTCCCCTCTTCCCTGTAATTGAAATGGCACATTACAGCTTGTCACAGCTTTTCATTGGGAACTTTTGACTGTTTCTTCAGTAGTTCATGTCTTGCAGGCCTCCGAGATAGAACTTTCCAGCACGATTCCAACTTGAATTCTTCTTTCTTATCCCTTATTTCCCCTTATGAGTTTTTACCACCTGCAGGGAAACCCTGTCCTCCTCAGTTCCGATTCTCAGACTGCCCTTTTGGGTTCATTCTCTTCTGGACGGCAGATGGGGCAGCTTCTGTTTTTACCTTTTAACCCCAACGTAGGTTGTGGACGCTGTTGTTCCCTGTCTAGTGGGTTTGTAAGCAGAGAGGAAAAGAACATTGTGGTTCACCAGAAAGGCTTTTTAATGTATTAATGGGAGACTCTAAAGTCCACAGGATGTTTTGCTAACTCCTTTCTTTCTTCCCGTTTCCATTATTATTATTTGGGGGTTTATATTGTGGTGATACTTTTTTATTTTAGTTTTTCAATAAGATGCTCTTGTGTGTTGAAAAAGTGAAACTATTGTTTTGTACTGTTCTTTTCTGTTACTATTTAAGGGAGAGCTAAGCCACTATATATAATAGATGTTGCATACAATTTTTCTTAGAAAATTATATGTTTCTGTGGCTACGGTAAATTGTAGGAGGCATACAGGTTAAACCTTCAGAAAAGTTGATGAGGAAACAGTTGTTTGCCCTTGGAAGAATAAAGTAGGCTCATGTGATGAGCTCGGTCAGCCATTAAAATAAATCTGTGTAAAAGCAGCTGTCATTTAATGGCTTGATTCAACAAGCTATTTAAGCACTTGTCTGACTTTACCATATGTGAATGATCTTATTGAAGTCAATGCAACTATTCATGCTTAAAGCTGAGTAAATTTTAAATATCTTGCTGAATTAATGGCCTTAAATAGAAAATAACTTTTAACTCTTCCTGTCCCTATTCTGTTTCCTGAAGTCTTGCAGCATGAATAAAAAGGTAATATTGCCAGCTTTGAATAGTTTGGGCTGAAGGATATTGTATTCTGTTCCACCAAAATAAAAGCAAGAACATGTTTTCCTGTGTGTAATTCTGAAGTACTCCTGCTGTAACCACAATTTACTTTTTTGCTTTGGATGTTTTCTAATTATTTGGGCCTTTTGTGTGAAAGTTGAGTTTTATTTTGTTATTAAAACATATGGTATATTCTTCTTATCCAGCAAAGTTGGAATTTAATAGTCACCTAAGGACAGTGACTAGGACATTTTCCTATAAATTCCCCAAACTGTTCTATTTCCTTTGTAAATAGATTATTGGTAGATAATTTTTGACTTGCTTGCTCTTTTTCTCGTAGGTTAAGGAGATCTAAAATGCACCATTAAAAGAAAAAAAAAAAAAAAGTATGTGTGTTGGGGGGGTGTAATTAATGTAGCATAAGTAGAAAATGAAAACCCGGGTTGTAGTACAAAAGAAACTTTGAAATGATTCAAATGGCAAAACAGCCCTTATTGCCTTTAATGAAAAGATACTTTTCACTGGGAGTCCAGAGAACATTTAATTCTACTACTTGTCCATTGCTAACTGTTTTTGGAGACTTCAGGTATTGAGGGGTGTTGTTTTGATTTGCTTTTCCTGAGAGCCTTTTGAAGGAACATCTTGGATTACGTTTTTGGAAGTGGCTAATGATTAGCAGTGCCATTGCATTTGTGATTTATCTGGGCTGCCTGCTCATGAATTTTTTGCATTTTGCTTTTTTCTCCTCAGAGTTATGGGTGGGTTTTTTTTTTTTTTTAAACCATGCACAAACATATCGATGCACTCTTTCTCATGCAGCTCTCAAAAAATCTAGCCTGTTTCTTAATACCTACACAACTGTTCTTCTGCATCATGTGTTTTGGGGAACTTCAGTATTTTCAAACAAGTGATCTAGATTTTGGATCTTGGATCTTTTTACACTAATACTCAGATTTAAACGGCTCTTTTCAAACAATCTTTCAATATAAAGCTCTTCATTGTCAGCATAAAGATGATTACAATTAATAAGGTCTTGGTCAGCAGGGCCTAATTGTGGAAAAACGAGTGATGTTTCCTGATCCCCAACTCCATTCATTTTGGGATCTGTGTAGAGTCCCACTTTGAGGTGCTTTACCTATATGTGAAGTTGGTGCATGAAGATTCAGAAGAACAGAATAAGCATGTTTGCTTTGATGGGTTTTAGTGGTATGAGTCACCTATGGCATTCGTTTAAAACAAACAAAAAAAAAAGGCAGCTATTTACTGATACAAATTTTTCAGATGGAAACCTTGCGTATATGTTTATAGTGAAGAGAAAAATATTTCATATTAGTCTAAAATTTTATGGCTTTTAAACTGCTAACAGAATTGGCTATAAATTCAAGCCATGTCCAGCAAGATGTAGGAGTGAAAATCTAATACACTTTCTGCTTTAAGCCGTAGTAAACTAGTGACAAGTAAAGCCAGATAATGCCCATGTGTTTTGAAAGATCTATGTAAGATTGTCATATCAAAATGTACTTGGGAATTTCATTAAAACTTTTAACAAAAAACAAACAAACAAAAAAACCCAAGCCCTGTGTTGTATTTCCTATGCTTGGCAATGACTGTTAGAAGGGAGGTTGATAATGATTGGGTTTGCCTTGTTACAGCAATCACCCGCTGCACCCCTCTGCATCTTTGCCTCAAGGTCTGTTGTTAACAGATGGGTTTAGCAATTACTGCGTATCTTCTTGCTGCTGACTGATGTGGCTACAAAATCTTCAAATTTCCCAGGAAAAAAAAGACACTAAGATTGAAATAAAGTTGAACACTTGTATTGAGAAAGTGTTACAAGAATGGAGGTGTTATTGAAACCAAGAAAAAAAATACTCCTTTATCCAGTAAATAAAAAAAAAAAAAACTATACCTGTGGGAAATACAAACATTAAGATGAGAAAAAGTGGAGTTAGAACATCCTTCCATAGTCCAGTTTCCATTGTTACAATGTGCAAGTTATCAGAGATAACAGGGCGGAGAAGGATCTCAATGAACTAGTCCACTGCAGTCCTCCGCTGAAACCAGGCTGGGCAGATTTCCAAGTTGTTAGAAGTCTACAGGGATAAAAATAACGTGTAATGTCTCTCTCACTTGTTCCTAGTCTGTTCCATTGCCTAGGTATTACTAGCATTAAATAGATCTTCCTAATGCATCCCTTTTTGCAGTTGGACTGGCCTTTGTCCTCTCCTAGTGAGTGCAGACGATAGTTTGTTCCTTTTCTCTGTCTTGAAACATGTTTCATGTGTGAAGATATATTTCCCTTCAATCTTATCTAGTCTGAGCAATTCCAATTATGGTAATTGACGTAACTGGTCATGCAAGATTTCATTAAACTGACTTTTCACTGTACTCTTTTTTTCTCCCCTTGTTCTTTGGTCTTCCAGTGCACTGATGCTTTCTTAGTATGTTTTGAACTCTAGGCGCTATGTAGATAGCAGATAACCCCTTTGTAACATTCCTTTTGAATTTAATTTTCCAGAGTAAGACTCCCCCTGCTCCCCTTGTGAAGATCAGGACAGAGTAACAGAGGTGCTAAGACAGAACTGCTAAGCTGAACTTGCATATTTAAGGCAATCTTAATTTCTAACTCCTAAGTTTTGGTATAGGTATAGTTTACAAACAAATACTCAAATGAAAGACAAAAGTTATAAAAGTTAAAGATAGTCTCCTTTCAAGGATTTAAAGATATTAAAGGTGAATTTGTCAGGAAAACTGGTAATTCTACTGTTGGATGCCTTTTCTAAGGGCTATCTGTGACTTGAATGTGGGATAAGTTTTAAATGAGCTATTATTGATAGAGTTTGATAGCTTAGCTTCAGCTCCTAATGAGTTTAACAGCCCTTTCTCAAACATAAAATCTAAAAAAAATAAAGCAATAATGTTGTATTTGATGTCCTCCTCTGGTCCTTAAGAGACTAGGAGGTTATCAGTCAAACTGCCAGCTTGGGGACCTCTGCTGCTGGTACTGGTTATGCCAAGCAGTCCACACAAATTGTCATACTAGACCAATTGTACATGTGGGTCCAAGGACCTTGCTTTTTATACTGGTCACTGAAAAGTAGCTTATTAATTGTTACCGTTGGATTTGATCAGCCCAGGTGGAGCTCTGACATCTCTGTAAACCTTGCTCTAAAGAAGCAAGAAAAGTGCAAAACATGGGTTTTATAACCATGGTATTTCTTTCCACAGCTCTAATCTTCCAGCACTTGCACAGAAGAGTTGGTGAGAGTTTCGGTTCAAGCCTTCTGACTTTTGGGATTAAACAACTTGTGGTAATTAGCAAGACAAGACAGCTCAGTCACTGTTATAGTTTTTTATTATTATTATATTCAGGCTGCTCCTTCAGTATTTCTGTAGTGCAACATCTTGCAGAGAAGATGAAATTCCTGTTCTGAAGCATTCAGGTGGCAAGCTTAGGCAATTGATATACATACAGATAGGAGGTTTACTGAGTAAGCCCATACAAAGAGCTTTGGAAAAAAAAAATAGGGGAGGATGGGGGAATATGTTCTGAACGTAACTTAATTGTGTGTTGGGGTGTGTGTTTGTGTCTTTATTTCTCAGAAAAATTAGAGGAAGTGGGGAAACAGCTTGCAGCTTGTAATATTATGACAAGAGATTCCTTCCCTCCCCTCCCCTCCTCCCCAGTTTCACAATTAAAGGAACTATAACTCAAAAGCCTATCTCTGTACTAAGTTAACTCTGCTGTGTAACTATGGTCTAGACTTAACCTGAGGGGTCCACAGCTTCATTCATATGCCCTCAGCCTTAAGAGTCTGTTCCTGTACAGTGCTCACTGCAGAAATGTAATGGACAGTAGCTTTTATCTTAGTATAATGAGGTAAGTTCCAGGTATAGCAACATGTAAGTCAATCTAGATAAGTAAAGGTGCTCTTAAAACATCTAACTCAAAATATTTTCTGATTGCAGAGGGTTAACCATGCAGTCTATAGGTAAAGCAAATTGAGAGCTGCACAGAACTGGGTGACTTCTATTAAGGCACATGTAGCTAATCAGAGAACAAGGAGAGAAATCAGGAAAAGTCTGTCCTACCCCACACTCAGCTGATTCATTCTGCACCTTCTACAATGTGTAATACATGTTCAGAAGGACGGAGTACTTTGAATGCAGCCAGTAAGTAAAGTGCTAAACATGACTGCACTGTCTTACCCTATGCAAGACTTGATTGCTTTCATAAGTTTGTATTGGGGCAAGCTCTTAATGGCATGTTTTGCTAATGCTATCATGGGTTTTCTAGTCCTGCTGTCCATAATGATGCTGCTGCCCTTCTTTAGATCTGCTTTAAAAGGATTTAGGTAGCCAGAGGAAAACAATGGTCTATATCTTTGTGTAAACTGCTTCCTCTAATAAACTGTGAGTAAGTGATGGCTGCCTTTGCTTTCTACTTGCAAGAACAGCCAACTTTTTGATGGGCTATCTTGCAGCAGACCTACTGTTACTACGGGACACTTGAGACTGAGATTCCCTCTATTACTAATTCACCAAAGACCACTGATTCTGTAACTGGAAGATGTTGAGACAGTTCTAGAATGAGGATGACTTGTCTTCCCCTGCCATGTCTAACTTGCACCCCACCCCCAGCAACTCCAGCTAATATTTAAGGTATGCTAAAGCCAGATGCTGAGTACAGATCTTTAAAGCATTCCAGCACCTAGGTATGCCACGTTCTCCCCTCGCTGCTGAAGAGGGGATGGGAAAGCTTATACATAATGGAAGCCTACACCATTACCAGACAGTGTTGTAGCCTTTTGCCATCTAAGCGCTGTTGTGCCAGAAGTAAGGGTAGTTGTAAGTACTTGTAACAAACCACTACTTCGAGAGATAACTTTCCCGGGGGACTAATTACTATGCAACTCCAACCTCTTTGAACGCCTATCACAGAAAAGGCATGGTTTGGGTGACTCGAGAATAATTGGGAATAAACTTCTTGTATAAAAGGAGGAAAAAAAGGCAGAGAGGTCAGATGAAGCTTAATTCAGGCTTTAATCCAGTTATGGATTTTAATGCTGGGGAAAATTTAGAACTGGAAGAGCTTGGTCGGACAGGAAATTCATTGAGAGAATATCACAGTAAGTTGCTGAATATTTTTATTATCAAACTGAGAACAACTGAACAGACAGACCACAGTACTTAAATGTGTATTAAGTGTGTAAAAATCTCTCTATTTCATGAGGAAAACATAAGTAAAGATACAAGTATAACAATGTACAGACACAGCCAGAGAATTAAAATACAGAGTCCATGACATCCACAAGAAAAAAAATCAAAGTTCTATTTAGTTATAACTGTAGCCCTTGCCCAAAAATCCCAGCACTAAACAGTTAAAGGATCAGAGCTGTTAAAAGTGTACGTTCTTTCAGTTTACAGTAGAGAGCTGTCCCTGTAGGCAGGAAACATCAAAATGAGGCTTGCTGGCTCAGGTGGAGCATCATCGGAACGTAATGATACAGCTTTTAACACTAGCTTGGTTTAGGATAACAATATTTGTGCAGTATGAAGAACAAGCCTCTCCACAACAGAAATGAAGCTGCCACAAATACTGAGCTGACCCAACAACTATCCCCCAGTTTGTCCCACTGTAAGGAACTTCAGGAATCAGGGCTACGTCTAGGAACACATTCACTTTAGAAACATGTTTGCATACAAAGGCCACACAATGAATGCAGCAGACTATAAAAGATTAGTAGACAAAGTCACAAAAATCAAGAGTAGTTAAACCCTTTTTTTGTCAGAGTGCTTTGCAAGTTGGCTCTCAAGATTTCGCTTATAAAAGGACTAGACTATATCTTTGTGAACTCCACACCCAAACTGGCCCAAATAGTGCAGACCTGCTTACAGCTTCAGGGCTTCAACCAATCCTCTCAGAAAGTCTGGAGTCCCCTGGGCCCCATTATTGTGTGCCTGCGTTCTGCAGTGTCAGCAGTTACTGTCTCAGTTGTGTTCCAAGTCAAAATAACAAAGTGTGTTAACACAGAGCAGACGTGGGTTTAATTACTTTTTATCAACTGTGCCATGTTTCCTCTTGAATGAGACTAGTTTCACGCTAAAAGGTGACCCAGGACTAAACATACGTTCAAGTTGGATCTTCAGAAATCAGGACCAGGAAGCGAAACAAGTCAAACCAGTACTGAAACCACAGCCAAATCTGTCTGTATCTCTGTATCAGAATAGAATGGTGTAGTGAGATTTAATATACTAGCTACAAGGAAAAAGACTTAGGAATGGAACCAGTGCATCACACCACTGCTGATGAATGAAGAAAAAGAAGATAAATGAGGATGCTTTTATCATCTTTCTCAGTTGGTTTTAAAACTCCATGATAATCATAGAAAGCATTTAGATCAGATTGCCAGGAAGCAGACACAGCAACAGTTGAACAAAAACATTTATAGAGCTTCTTGAGTTTTACCATTTATTATTCAAACCTGTCTGACTTTGGTTGTCTTGTGTAACAGCTTTGAATGGAGTACACTGATGTTTTTCCCCTTACGTACTTCCACTGCTCCAAGCAAAGAACAGCCATTCCTCAGTATATTGAGGGTTTTATCAGTTCAGTGGTATAGGGTATATATCCCAAACACCAGTAACTAAAAGGTGCCGTTCCTTTAGGAGTACAGTGTAATGAAATACTGGATGAACTTTTGCAACAGACTGACCATATCCTTTATTTTTCTGGAATGGAAGAATGTGAAGTATACACTAATGAGAGACTGACACACTGTTTCTGCTTAATTTATATCAGTTTTGGTCTTGCCGTTACACACGCACTAATCATTTTGTGCTGCATCCTGACCAAGGAGAAGAGTAATGTCTAAATCAGTACCCTGATTTAGGTTTTAAGAAGGTGCACACTGATTAAAAGGGTCAGTCTAGTTCTGGCCTAGATTCTAGTTCCAGTTCCTCTAGCCTATCCAACAGCAACACATACTTGGGGAAAGAGGAAAATTTTTCTCCTCTGAATGCAATGTACCATCTAAAAACCTTTAACTCTGTGCAAAGGAGATGCATAATTCTTATAACCATTCAGATAGAAAATACAGTATATCTTTATTGCGTTTACTTTTCCTTCAGTATAAAAATGAACATCACCCTACATCAAATGTACACCCACATGAAATTGCACATCCATTTTAGACCTGTAAAGCAAAAATATTTTATGCTCACAGACACTTGTTTGAGCCATTTTCCCAGAGTTTGTACTGAGGTCATTTCACATAAGCCATGAAGAGAATTTTCACTAGGATGTACAAGCATCTATTCCTGACCACCAACAAGGCACATACATATGATTAATAGGTAGTTAAGAATTGCTAACCTATATAAGCAGCAAGGGTAACAGAGCCAAAATACACATAACCTGAGTTACCACTTAGCCAATAGCCTATTTTGCCAGAAAATACAAAGGAGGGTCTTGGAATTATGAAAATAGAGGAAACCTCTTCTATGTGTATAAATATATTGGATTTGTTCAAAGCAGTTGCTCAAAATGAATTTTCTTTTGTATTTAAAGCATACTATCTATTCTCGTAGTTCACTTCTGACTGAAATTAAGAACATCCCATATAAGAAGAGAGATTTGTGATAGGTAGTACTTCAGCAGCTCCATAAAACTGCATATACAATCATTATCAGTCAGGTTTTCAGAATTCTATTTTGTTTAAAAATGAATTTAGAAAAATATCAATGATTTGAGTAGACCGCAGAACATTCACAAGCTGTACAAAGGCAAAGAGGTCAGGCAGAGAATCTTCACGCAGCAGCACCACCGTCATACCAAAACTGCCGTTAACGTTTTAAAGGAGAGTTCAAAGGAACTTAATGTTTTAACACATTTTGAGTTCTGAAAATTAGTAGAAAAATAATTACAGACTAGCTATATTTTAATTTTTTTCATATAAATATTCTTTAAAGTTTTATCAGCTGCACAGCGTAAGTTCTGTTGCACCATTTCTCCCTCCATGCCGCTAGGTTTAAAACACAGTCTTGAGGGAGGATTTCAGAAATGAATGCTTCTTTCCTATCTTTCCCTGCTCCTGTATCCCGCTACAAGGTGAATCTGCTTCCAGTCCCAAACTCGCTTCCTTTGGTTTTTTTCCCCCCTAAGGAAATCACAGTTCTTTTCGTTGTGTTCTTAAGCACTGATGCGCAGCTAGCAGTCGGCATGCTGCTGAAGATTCCCAAGTGCCAGTGACCATCAAGTTCATTCAGAAGCCTTTCAACTTAACCAAAAGATCGAGCTTTATGAAAGAAACCAGCGACACGAACCACGTTACCACAAGTCACAATGGCAAGTCAGGAACTCAGCACGTACCCCAAATCCAGAGGCAAATATTACAAGCAAAATGGCTTTTACTAACTCGAGTTCTTTAATGAATTAGTTCTCCATGCCCAGAACCGCACAGGAGTTGAAGGGCAGCCCAGCACCAGGTACATTAAAGCCCAGCCCCGACAGAGCACTCTCGAGGAAGAGGTGCCCGAGGTCGGTCGCACCGTGGGGACGGCGTTCCCCGTCGCCAGCCCGCTCCGCGGAACCGGGTCCGAGCTGCCCGCCTGCCCGCCCTGCAGCGCTCCCACTCGCTCCGCGGTCACCGAGGCTACTTACAGGAGGCGCGGGG